AGCAAGGACACTGCGAATCTTGAGACATTCCTCCAGATAGTTGTCCTGATTGGCGTCGACAAGTTGGATGTACTCTCCACGGAAAAAGATAACAGCATGGTTCTGGTTGTCAGACTTGCCATCACCAAGAATTGGGTTGCCAGAGAGGAGGACACGGAATTTAGGTTTGCGCAGGCCGTTTTCCATCACTTCGCAGTGACCATCGATGACAGCAGAATAGAGGCGAGGTTCGGCGCCTTCTTCAACGGGGGGTTCCTCGTCAAGATATGCGATCTGCAGGTCGGGGTAAGCGCGAAGCAAGAACTCAGTGTTTTCCATCTCTTCTTTCTTGAATTTGGCGTAACGCTGCATAGAGACACAAATCTTAAATTTACGGCGGGCCATGCGTTCAAGTTCCCTCTCGAGCTTATCAGTATTTCCACCGAACATTTGGACAACTTCAGGGTTCTCGACACGGTAAAGAAGCTTGATAGCACGGCTATAGTTCATGAAACCAGAAATCGTACGGTACAGAGTCTGATGACGAAGGGAAGCCCAGATACGAGTTCGAAGGGTGTATTCAGGCGCGGCAGATTTAAAACCAATGCAGTAGAACGGAAGGTCATCGATCTTGCTCTTGTTGCTGTCTTTCTCGTTCTCCTTTCCTCCTTCCTCGGTAAAGTTAGTGGTCTCATCAGCAAGAATTTTGGTATCTTTAACGAAACAATCCCATTCGTGAGGGTGAAGCTGTTTGAGATATTCCAATAGGGTAACACGCGAGAAAGGATCGTCTTCACGGATAATCTCACGAAGAGAGAACAAGATCTTCTCACTGTAATGCGGGATCAAGACGGTGAAAGTCGGCATGTTGTCAACAGGGAGAGGCTCTGGAATAGGTGTGGACAGAGATTGGGCAAAGAAAGAAATACGACGTTCGGCCTCACTTCCGCTAGGGAAGAACTCGGTCTCAAAAGAATGATCCTCCTGAGAGACGAAGAAAGTTGGCGCGCGCAGTGTGCGTTTGCCCTCTTGTTCCGATGGGACCTAAAAATAATTAGCTAAAGTTGCGATACAACGAAATGTTTGAAAAAAAATACCTGATGATACAAAAGCTTTTGAACGTGATCAATGGCCAACAGATGCTCGCGGTACATAGAAATGACGATTGCGTTCCAGATTTGAGAGATAAGAACTTTAGGCTTGTACTTGATTTCCATGTCGGTGGTGGCCAAAACCTTCGAGTAGATACGCTTGGGAAGACGCGAAAAGATGTTTCTCCAAGGTGTCCAGATAGAGACTCCGAGATAGAAAGAGCGAGCGACTGAGAAGATGGCGTTCCAGATGATGTACCACAGATATGTATCCAAAAAGAACAAGACCAAATCAGTGCAATACATCAAAATAAGCAAAACCTGAGGCTGTCTTGTGCACAGAATCTTTGCAGCTTCTCCGGATCCAAACATGCTATCACCGAGGCAGTTCGAAATCTTCATAACAGACAAGATACGAATAGGGTCACGGAAAGACAAGGTCAAGAAAAAGTATGACTCCACAAGCTTGCATGCAAAGATCAAAACCCAAAGTCCATACGACATCCACATATCGTTTCCGTAAAGACGGGGAAATGAGGCGGTGAATGTTTGACTTGCAACATATTGACGGTTGTTTTTGGTGAGATAGCTTCCAAACAATGCTCCCAGAGGCATGATTGAGAAGAAAAAGTATGTGATCATAGCGACGAAAAATTGGACGATTCCAAGAATATGTGCAATTTTGCCGCCTTGGTTTCCGTCAATCATAAAAACGTATATGCCAGGAGCAAGATTGATAACAAAGACGACAATCAAGAACAGAAGACGTTTTGTCAAGTGCTGTGCACCTGCCCACTGCCTAGGAACGAAAGCCCACTCTGCCAATGTTGCCATAATCATGAGTAATGCTGCAATAGTACCACCAAAACCGACGGAAGACCAACGCGCGGCGGCATAAGGCTGCTGGTTGATACGTTGTTTGTAACCATGGGTATAGATAGACGGAGAGTTGAAGGCAGTATAAAACCAGAAAGAAGAGATATGGATAACCCAGATACGATTGAAATTGGTAACCATGTGCCACCAGGAACGCGTTTCGAGATAAGTCTTGAAGAAGACCTTCTTCCAGTCGACCTCCTTGAGTTTTGTGTACCTCATATTTGTCGGAACGTCCACAAGTCGAGACTTGTCTGTCATAATGATTCTCTCGATACCCTCGGGATACCAGAACAATTGATTGCAGTCGTCATATCCAATGATGCGGTTGTGGTCAACCTCACGGCGGACATACTTACCGTCAACAATCTCGTATCCCTGGTCCCGACAATACTGGTAAAGAGGCGTAATGACTTCGTCGAGGTAGGTACCCTCCCTAATCTCCTCTACCCTAGCTTGGCATTCAGGGGATTGCAAATAGTCGTCGGCACACTTGAAAATGAAGCAAAGCATCTCAGGCATGAATCGAACCTGGTTAGCTTCACCCCAGCACAACAGATACAAGGCAATTTGGCGAATACGATCGTGCTGAGACATGCGGTTCATCTTGGTCTTCCATCTGTATTCGGCAGCTTCCAAACTGTTATCTCCTTCCATTTGAGCTAGAGTTTGTTCTTCACTCGCTTCACCGCCCTTGGTCTTTTTTGCTGCAGCTCTTGCCTTCCGGGTCCTACGATTGGTCTTACCCAGTTTCATGTTGGCGAAACCGACAGCTTCATCAAGATCAAGCTGAGCAGCGAAGTACCATTTTCGGTAATTGGCATTGTCACCACCAATGTAATCGGCATGCAACGACAACAGTGCCTGGTTAGGGGTCATGCGGGAAGCCCTGGAGTCGAGGAGGACCATTAAATGGTCGTACATGTTTCGCATGCTATCGCGTTGAAACCCAAACTTTTTGGTAAGATCTAGGAAAATCTCTTCGATCTCTTCCTTTGATAGAGGAATCTGGTTCTCCGAGGTCCATGCTGGGTAAGGTTCCTTTGAGCGCGCAGCAGCAGGTGCATTGCTGTAGTCCATGCCATAAACAGGTGTTGACGCTCCTGATGACCGATTCCCCCCGTACGACACCTGAGACGATGGTGGACGGTATCCTCGGCCCCCCTGTTGCCCGCCCTCGTATCGTTCATCTCCACGACCGTAGTAGTCCATTTCTGCAGCTCTCGCCATATCGGACCGCATAGTGAAGTCGCTAAAAGTTTCTGAATCGTCTTCTGAGTCATTGCCCCTGCGCTGTTTTCCTTTGCCTTGAGGCTGCTGGCCGGCAGCAGGAGCATTTTGATCTGTGAGGATTTGTTAGTAAAAAAGTCTTTAGGATTCTTTCGAATCTCAAGGATACCGTAGTATTGGTCACCATAGTATTCATCTTCATATCCTATAACTAATTAGTATCATATTTTAAACATTCATACGTGTGGGTTTTTACCTCCTCGGCCATCATTGTAATAACCGTTGTCCCCTGCTGCATACGCGCCGTGCTGGCCGGCATTATAATATTCCCTATTATTCTGTTAGAACGCAGTCGACAAAAACGACTTGTTTTGACTCGCTTACCCTTCGTCATAATAGCCATCGGCTCCTGGTTGTTGCTGTTGCCCATGTGGGTGATCATAGTGTTGACCATCTTGTTGGGGATGTCCGTAGTCGTCCTGGTAGTATGAGTCGGTTTGCTGACCATACTGCTGGTCGTCGTACGGCTGCTGAGGCCGCGCCATGGTGAAAAGCTTCCTCTATAAAATTCCTTGCAGGTCGTTAGATTAAGGTTTAGATGTGGTTGCTGGAGTTGATCTCTCTCCTAGTATAGCTAATTACGCCCAGAGGATGACTTACTCTATACTATGACGGAAGTGATAATTTATTTGTTGTTCCTGGTCTTGTTTACCTATGGGTCGCAACCAACAGTTCTCAAAAAAAGGGGCTCCAAAAAAACCACTACTACAAACGAACGACAGTTGAAAACTGCAGGAGACAATTGAAAGATCAGCAACTTATGTATAGAAGGGGAGGTTGGACTGGTAAAGTGAAGGAGGGCAAGGGCGGCTGTTCTGTTTCCTCGGGAGAGGGGCGCTGGGGGGTTGCTTACAGCTTGGAGGCTCCGGTCAAAAGAAGGCAGGCAATTTCGTGAGATTGAAGTACCACACTATTATTATTATATAGATTCCCTTTCTGAGCGTAATGGATCTAATAGGGATGTAGATACCTATCCTTCGCCAGCGGAAGAATAGGGAGGGGAGAGCGAGTGTCGTAAGTTGGGAGCAGATGAGGGAGTGTAAGAGAAAGAGGGAGAGGGTAGAGGAGAGAGTAGAAGAAAAGAGGAAGGGGTGGATGGATGCAAAGGCCGATGAATAAAGAGCTTGGGAATTGGCAGGAAAGGGGAAGGCAAAAAACTAAAGGAGACGCAGCATGAGGAACCGTAGGCAATCAATCAACAGGTACGACACGGACAGGGAAGATGTGCGTGTGTGGCCAATACAGATTCCGCTGCCGAATGCAATAAAAAAGCCTCCCGGAGAGTCTCGTCACGGACGGCACCTCCCCCCCCCCCCCCCATGCCCACTCATTATTTGCATACATGAACTTTAGTGCTCTATCCTACATACTGGTCCTTGTCCACACGATAACCAACTTTCCCCTTCCAGTATCCCAGAAAACTCATACACGGGCTCTGGGCTCCTTGTTTTCCAGAACCAGGATATGGTTCAAGTTTCGAAATACCTCTTCTTGGGCTTCCCGATCTGTCGAGCCCCGGCGCTTCCATTTCCCGAAAGATAGGCTTCCAGGGGAAACCCTCCGTATGATTGGAAGCATCCTGCAGCAGCAGGGGTTATTTCTTGTTTCAAGAATAGACTTGGATTTGTGGTACTGTACCTACTATTCATTTGGTGTGGCAAGAGTGGCCAGGCCTGAGCTCTCTCAGACCTCATAGCCTGCGCTCGATCATCACTTTCGGTGGCAAGAAGCAATCAATATCAATGAAGATGTTCAAAGATTACATTATGATTGGACCTCGTTGCGAACCCGAGAAAAATCGACCTGCATTTTCTATGTCAGAGTTCGAGGGCTGAATACTGTACCTACTTACATCGAGCGTATGTAGAAGACTACTTGAACCTTTGGAATTTTAGCAATGCCTCCTGGAGTGAAGATATATATTATTCGTTTAATACTCAGAATACTTACTCAAGAGTACCGACTGTATTTGTAGAGTACCTACCTGCTGTAACACTTCTCCAAAGAATCAGACCAGCAAGGAAAACTCACGATTCTATAAATACTTACAGCAAGAGAAGTGTCCCACGTCATCTTGGCACGGGAAGTTTTGAGCCACGCTGGATGGACCTGCAGCCCAGCGAGAGAATGATTGGGAGAGACAGCTTCGCCAAAAGCGATTATGGTCTCCGTATGAGTAGAGTACATACATCAAGCGAATACTGTAAGCGACTTTGGCACTGGTCCATGACTGTAGCGGAGCACAGAAAACACTCCGGTTATCGATCCAAATTTTATCTGATTCATTATTTACAATTTGGGTCCACACTGATAAGAGATCAGAGTGCGCTAGGTCCATGTCTCGGTCACAAACGGTTTTGGTCCACCAACCGGTCCAGCATCTATTTACCAAGCAACCCTGGTTGATGACAAGCCAAAGGAGCAGCCTGTTTCAACGAAGGACGGAAACGACAGCGATCCTCCTGGAAGAGCCGGCATGTCATGCGAGAGGTGCAATTACATGTTTCCTGCTCCTAAATATCCCTAGGCTCTCAATGGTTCTAAATCTCTCTGTAGCTAGCGTAATTTGACATTTGAAGTTTGGGATCTGTTAGACTTACGCGTACACAGTTCGGCATCTTTATCCAGAGGCATTCAAAGAGTGCTACTTCCCGCCAAGTAGTGACATTCTTCTCCCATCTTTCTCTACATTCCTTTCCAGTGTGTGTGTGTATTTCCTACATCTTCTCGACATTCTTTCTCTTCAATTTCGTATCACAAGTATCTTTTCCACACATTCGCTATCACCCGCTCAATTCTTGTGTGCGTTTGGGCTTTTTTGTCTTGGTCTCTTGCCTTTTTGTAGCACAGCTCTGCCGTTTTTCTCTGTTCGTGATCTTGGCTGCCTGTCATCCCCTATTTTGGCCGGTATAGCCTTAAGCAACAACACTTATTGCATCAATCAGCCCTCGGACACTCTTGGCTTCCGATAAACAGTGGTAGTTGTTATCTTGGTTAAAGATGAAGGCTCCATCATTTACCTCCTTGGCTGTAGTAGCCAGTGCCCTCGTTTCAGCCGTTTCCGCTGCTGATCTGGACCCCATTGTCATCAAAGGGAGCAGTAAGTCCTCTATTTCCTTCGATTAATCCGCCGAGAATACTGGCTAATAGAAGTTTTACTTTCCCTTGGTAGAATTCTTCTTCAAAAGTAATGGAACACAATTGTAAGTTTCACCTAAATACATTTTATATATACTATACATACATGTATGCAAATGCAAATGCACTTGATTAACTGACTCTGCTTTTAAACTTTAGTTTTATGAGAGGTGTTGCCTACCAAGGCTCTGTCACAAACTCTAGTGCAACTGATACTTTTGTGGACCCGTTGGCGGATGCCGATGGTTGCAAGAGAGATGTCCCATTGCTTGAAGAGCTTGGTACCAACGTCATTCGTGTCTACGCCATCGACACTACTGCCGATCACACAGAATGCATGCAATTGCTTAATGATGCTGGCATCTATGTTGTGAGCGATTTGAGTGAGCCAAGCCAATCTATCAACCGTGACTCCCCAGTTTGGGACGACACGCTCTACACACGCTACACCTCGGTTATCGATGCTTTAGCCAATCATACCAACGTTCTTGGCTTCTTTGCCGGTAACGAGGTCTCTAATAATGCTTCCAACACTAATGCTTCCCCTTTCGTCAAGGCAGCCGTGCGCGACATGAAGCAATACATTAGTAGTTCAGGCTATCGTGATATTCCTATCGGATATGCAACCAACGACGACGCTGGTATTCGCACACAACTGGCAGATTATTTCAACTGTGGAGATGCCAGTGATAGTGTGGATTTCTGGGGTTACAACATCTACTCTTGGTGCGGCGATAGCTCATACACCGAGTCCGGTTATGATGTTCGCACAACTGAGTTTGAAACCTACAATGTCCCTTCTTTCTTTGCCGAGTACGGTTGTAATGTATTTGCACTGCGTAACTCGCTTGATTAGACCTTTACAGAGCTAACATACCTTTAGGAAGTTCAACCACGTCCCTTTACTGAGGTTGAAGCTATCTACGGCAAGAACATGACATCTGTCTGGTCTGGTGGTATCGTTTACATGTATTTCGAGGAGACAAACAATTATGGTAAAGATTCTCCTCAGCCCACCAATCTTATCTCATTGCTAATACGTTTAAAGGTCTTGTCACCATTGAATCTAACGGCGATGCTAAGACTTTGACCGACTTTAACAACCTCAAGACTGAGCTTGCAAAAGTCACCCCTACTGGCGTTGAGATGGCATCTTACACTCCAACAAACACTGCTGCCCGCTCGTGTCCCACTAGCGATGCTGATTGGTCCGCTGCCACTAATCTTCCACCTACACCAACAAGGAACTTTGCACTTGCATGTTGTCTTCTTTGAGTTGTGTTGCTGCTTCTTCGGTTAAGGACACAGACGCAGCTGACCTTTTCAGTTACATCTGTGGAGATGCTGGTATTGACTGCGCTGGTATCATTGCAAACGGAACTACTGGTGTGTACGGTGCATATTCTATGTGCAGTCCTCTTGAGCGCTTGGCATGGGCCATGAATGCATATTACGAGGAGAACTCATCTTCATCTGACTCTTGCAGTTTCAGTGGAAGTGGGACTACCCAGGTTGCTGCTACTGCTACGGGTAGCTGCTCAACTCTTCTCTCGGAAGCTGGTGGAACTGCTGGTACTGGAACTGTTACTTCGCTCCCTTCATCCACTGCCAAGACTACATCATCTACATCATCCGATGCTAATGCTGCAGGCTCTGTCTCTGCTCCCACTGTTTCTGTCGGTGCTTTCAAGATTGGCGCCTCTATGCTTGTCACCATGCTTGGTGGTGTTGCTTTGGTTCTCGTTTAATGATATTGTACTTAATATGGACGGATGTGTACAGACTTCTGGCGGCATTTTGGGTCGAAAATAACCTAAGGGTCATGCGAGACATTTTATTTGTGTTGGGTTATTTTATGTTTTCTTGCATTTTATTCTTGTTAATTGATTTTGCATTGCTCTCCTGTAGCTGGAGACTGTTATTATACGAAAATTTCACTAAAAAAGAATTACCAACTGTACATGTACATATGTACGTGGTACGGTTTTATTAGACAATTCCTTTGCTCTGATTGTCCCTGACCAACTTACTGGAAGTGAGCGATCGAACGTGACATACCACTGAGGATCAGGCACCAAAAAAGCGGTATCAAGCTTGCATGAGTTAACATCGGTACCAAACCTATCTCAAGAAGACCTGTGCGTACTTCTAGAAGCTCGAGGGTCAAGGGTTGACCTAGGAATCGATAAGTGCACTTTACCCTTACACGATGAAGTGCATTTCGTAAAGTGTATTAATCTCCGAGTGACGTGCTATGATGCTCACTATCGGAACGACAAGCGCCTTTAATCTCAAATGCCATAGCCATGGTGGGGGCAGTCTAGGATAGAGTGGAGATGGAATATTACCTGGAGCAATACTTGCTATTGTTCAGAGTTCTCGTTGACCATCAGCCTTACGCAGCACGTATGTAGAGTAGAGTACTCTGCCAGGGGTCTCTTTACACACTATTGCACACCCGAGGCTCAAAAGAACCAGCCCACAGGTGTTTTCTCGGGAAGAAAAAGATACCGCCCCCGTCAAGCGGCACGTTTTGACCAACCCAACCTTGTAACCATACCATCCCACCCGGTTGGCTGGGAAGTGGTGGTCGCGGCGTCAGAGCGTTTGATTTGTTTACTATCCGGCGGTGGCTTATACGTGTGGGGGCCGCGCGTTGTTTAGCGTTACTTTGCACCGCCCACCTCCTACCACCTGCCTTTTGAGCTGGAAACAAATCATCTACCCCCAGGTACTGGGGCTTCATTCCTAGTATCGGGTACCTTGCAGTGAATGGTGTTGGCAGAGGCACAGCGGGGGATTTCCCCGGGGGGTTATGCGCGATAAAGGTTGTTTACAAAGAAACAAGCCATGGTTAGGGGGTTTATTGCTTGATACGAGCTCCCTCTGCCTCCACGAAGCTGTGATAGCGCAGATGATGGGGGTAAGAACGTCAATCTCAATACGAACGGCGTAGAATTAAACCTTGGTTGTTTCTTCCAGAAAGGGTTTATGGCCGGAGTGGTGGAGGAGGAAGCAGTATAACACGAAATAAGTATATGAGAACTGGCCCAATTGGTGATTGTAGATTCAGGAGTTGTCGTAAATAGAAATCATGGGAATACACTTACCTTTTGAACATATGGGAGTTTCTTCACTAGTACTATGTACAACCTCCACGCGGTGTCACAGACCCACTTTCTGTGACTCGAGGTCACATATCCCATGTACATAAGCTTCTTGTGTCTGATCCGCCAACAGGGAAAGCCCCTTCTGAGACCTTAGCGCGCGACTCTCCCCTTCTGGAATGTTGGCAGATCGGAGCGGCTCCTTTGTCCGAAATGAACCCTACGTAGCACACCTCTCACTCCCTTCTCTCCCTCCTCCCACGGGGTATTTTAGTAGAGTGCTGTAAAGTGCATGCATGCGTATTTTTTTTTCAGTGGCCAGACGGGATGATGCATCTCGTCTGGGTTCCGTTTGGAGGGGGGGTTCGTGATGCACGGATGATACGTATACTACTAGCGCTCAGACTGTCTAAGGTGAAGCAACTTCAAGATATGTATGAGAGAGTATTATCGACTCTACATACATCCTTAGCTTTGCAGATTTTTATGTACCTTTGGTATATTCTGCCTACGCCTACAAGCTTTGCTGTACGTCGCAGTGGGAACAGGTCTCACACGCTGTTCGGACGTGGCATGTCTTGCCTGTCGGTTCGCTCGCTGGCTCACCGTGAATCACAGATAGCGAAGGCTCCAGTGAAACCAATTTTTTTTTTTTTTTTTTTTTTTTTTAGCTTTTACTATCTAGCTATCGCGATCTCCGTAGCAGAATCGGGGAGAAGTGAGGACAACTAGTCTCCCTGTTATTTAGATTTAGGTACGATAGCGAACCGCAGATTAGGCTCCCAGAGTATGGCCCACCGAACCGTTCCAATCGCGTTCGAGGAACGGAGGTGCTGCTGCCAGCTCCAGAAGCCTAACACGGGAAGTTACTGAGGTTAGTTTCAGGAACGCTCACTGGCCCTGACAGGCTGCTTGTTGCTACAGCAACCTTATCACGTGCGGACGACCCACTTCGAACCTTGACGTTGCCGTACGAGTATCGTGTGCTACAACGCGTTCACAACTGGAGTTGAAAAAAACCAGCCCAGGAGAACAAGAAGGAGCTCGCCATATTATCTTCATTACATTACTGGCTACCAGCAAGCAAGCTACCATGTCCGATCCTGGCATTGACTACTCTAGCGATGAGCTCCCGGACCTACAGCTGCTCCTCGAGCAGAGCTTAGTAATGAAAGGGAGGGAAATTACGCCGAACCAGAGCCTCCCGCCGGCCACCCTGTTTGATCCAGCGACTCCACCCCGGGAGACGACGAAGAAGAAGTCTCAGTCGAAGGTTCCAAAGATTGCGACGGCAGGGACTCCAGATACATCCCGACGACTTCCAAAAGAAGCCACCGCTGCCACGGCTAAAAAGCAAATTAGAAAAGCTACTACCACGACAGCGGTGGCTGGGAGACAGAAGGAGAAGAAGTGGGATGGCGGGCATGTAGAAGCGGTGACATCCACCACGCCGGCGGCAGAAGGTGATTCGGGTTTGTAATAACATACCTGTAGATTTTTATTTGTCATTCTTTGTATATAGGGCAAAATAACTAATTTCACATTCCTTGACATATTCCCAAGACTACGCATCTGCGGTTGAGGAGGTGACTGTAGCAGAACCTACACCAGCGCCCAGGCGACGACGCCTGATACAGAAAAAATATCTACCCAGCAGCGACGACGATAGCGATGAAGAAAGGAAGGAATTAGAGAAGCTACGACGGAGCTTTGTAGACCTCACAGGCTCCGATTCAGAAGATGCGCCCTCCCAACCTCCACGTAGTCGGTCTCCGGCGTCTCAAGCACCTCAGGCAGCTACAGTACCTCAAACGATTTCCTCTGAGGATGACCTTGAGAGCTTCACACTACGGTAGTACGTTCTCAAACTCCAGAAGTAGTTCTTTGTAGTACCTGACAGTATTTCACAGCTCACCGCCGCGCTCTACAAAACCGCGGAAGATAATACCACCAACGGCCCTAAAAGTAAAGGAAGCACCGACCCCACTCCGCAAGCTCAATTCCCCCACCAAGCTCTTACCAAAGATGCCACCTTCGCAGCACCGCAAAAGTAGCGATGCATTCTGGGATCAGGAGGTCGCCGACAGCTGGGTTGATACTCATACGCCGTATAAAGTTCGCGCTAGGCCACCAAGCAGCCTCGGCCATAATGATGTAGATATAATCGCCGAGAAAGGCGGAGATGACGACGAGGATGACGACGACGATGATGATGATGATATTGTAGAGGTTGAAGATGATAATTGCCATGAAGAAGAAAGCGACGAAGAACGGGCCCCGTCACCCACAAAGCGCATGCCCGCGGCAAAGCCGAAGCCTAAAGAGAAGAATACAGAGTCAAAACGGGCCTTCAATGCCCGCAAAAAGCAGCTCGCGGAAGACTTCTTTAAGACTATTGATGAGAAAGTTGGCAAGGGCGAGATATCACAAAAGACTGCCGCTACAGGCGGCGTTAAGATAGTATGGAGCAAGACGCTCCGTACCACCGCTGGGACTGCAAAATGGCGGGCCGAGAAGCTGCAAAATATCTCCGCCAGCGCGGCGATGGAGCATCCACTGTCCACTGCACGGGTGCGACACCATGCTACTATCGAGCTGGCCGAGAAGGTCGTTGATAGCCAAGGTTCGTCACAAATGCTTCTACAGATGTCCTGACCTGACCGAAAGCTGACGGTCCACATAGAAAAATTGTACAACACAATGTGCCATGAGTACTGCCATATGGCAAACTACATGATCAGCAATGTCACCAAGCCTGCCCACGGCGCTGGGTTCAAGCGCTGGGCTGCAAAGGCCACACGCGAGTTTGCGCATCTCGGTGTCCATGTCACAACCAAGCATAGTTATGAGATTGACGCAAAGTTCAAATGGACCTGTCAGACGCCTAATTGCGGGCAGGTCTACAAGCGACACTCAAAGTCCATTGATATCACACGCTCTAGATGCGGCGCCTGCAAGACAGGATTGTTATTGCAGACGCACCCGCCGCTGCGAGAGAAAAGGCCTATTACTGGGTATCAAGCGTTCATGAAAGAGAATTTTGGGCGGATTAAGGCACAAAACCCGGGGGTGCCACAGAAGGATGTCATGAGGATTGTGGCGCAGGCATATAGAGAGGCTAAGGAGGCAGGAGCGGTAGAGGCGGTTGGAGAGAATGAGGGAGATTTAGAGGTCATGCTAGGCGAACTCAAGGTTTGAGGGTGTGAGAATATTACAATGAGGCGTATGGTTTGGTTTGGTTTCGTTTTGGGCGTGATCGTGTCCGAAATTTTGACTGGTTTGATTACCAGATTGTATGCATGTAGTCTGTAGAAGTGCATAAACTACTGTTTCTCACGTCAGAAGCTAAAATATGATTCCATCCATTATCGCATCGCACGTGTAATTGAAACTTTGCAGCACTTCTTCCAGAATCAGCAAGTGAAGGGTTCTCAGCTCTGATCAACTTTTAGCCTGCATATGGTCATATGGACTAAGAATTCATCACTTATGCTGATACCATCGCTGTACTGAACAGCAAAACCCATTATACCCGGACCCGGTTCGCTGAAGATAAAAGGAAAAGTACCAGGTCGCCGGATAGACTAATCCTGCAGTTGACAAAGATCACCGGAATGATGTGTACTCTAGATAGGGATTACTTTTTTAGAGAAAAATAAACTTTTTCTCTCAGCCTCGATCACAAACCCTGAGGTTCTGATAAGCTCCCAGAGAGAGTTTTGATAGGGTTGATAAGTCTCACTGCGCATGATCTTAGGCTGCTTACTAAGAGGACCAATGACACAGAGGTTTCAAGCGATCTTGCATTTCAACACTTTTTGTCTCGGTATTCGGTAATGTACACCAAAGGGCGAAAGTGGGCTATGCACGTGTCATATAACTACTTCATGTATGTGTTGTGTGTGTTTGAGATGCCAAATCCACTTGCATAAACATACCTACATGTACGTCTCTGAGAAAGCATGCAACCAACCGCTACTACTTGCAGAATCTGTTAACTTCAGCCCTAGCTAACATCATGATCTAAATTCACGGGTGTTGTGTTTAGGATGCCGCAGCGCGTGGGGTCGGTTTAGGTATCAGAGCTGAACTTTGGGCCCACCGCCCCAATAAACCGAGTGATCTTTTATGACCGAGGGTAAATGCCTAAAATTAAATATGTCATCGAAAGATTATCGCCCAAACCCCCCTCCCATTATGCTGGGCTCCCTAGCACTCTTCTTAGTAGTATTACTCCTTTCCCCGGGAAAGTATCATTGTTTGGTAATAGCAGTTGTCCGCAACAGAACTGCTCTAGGGAGTCAATCAAGGGCGACTTCGATCTCTGAAAATAAAAATAGGACTGCGGGGCGATTGTGACAGATACCGATTAAAAACCCCAAATTAAATTGATAAACAAAATTCAAGAATGTAGGTACACGCGTACGTACTGTGCTCTGCATACATGTACTCGGTGCACCCACAGACCTGCTACCCAGAAAACCTCCATGTGAAGGAGCATGAGCCGATAATGTAAATCCATAGCCCGGCACGCATCATTCCTTCATCGACATACTATATACTCTGTGGATCGAAGTAGACGTAGAAGAGGTTACTTGGTGATTATATCCAAAAGACACAGCTAATCAAGCGATCTCGGTCAGTTTTTTAACTGATAGTTTTACACAAGAAAATCAATCCGATAATAATCGGAAAAATTTGAATCCGACCCCAATGAAGGGACAGGATTGTGTTAGGCTCGACCCCGGGTTTGAACCGGGGACCTCTCGCATATTGACTTAGAGTGCGACCCTAAGCGAGAATCATACCACTAGACCAGCCGAGCTTGTGATACAAGAGTCCAAACAAATATTTTAGATTAAATTTCAAAATAGCTGTCAGTCGGAGGTCCGCTGCTACCAGTGGTAATGGGTTTTTAACACTTAATATACTTCAAAAAATCACACCAAAGTAGGGAATACTCGCGAGACTAGGTCGTTCCTACTACTTTGTACTCTACGCACTAAATACTATAGTATCAACAAGTTGTAATATCCCTTTCTGGGTAATACTCATTTATTTAATAGATACGACGAAGACGTACTAGCTTACATCTTACCGTAGCACGCAAGGCCTACTACGTACTTTGCATGACTGACCAAGAACCCCAATCTTGGTTCAGGGAAAATACTTATAAGTAGCATTCAAAATGGCAAGCTTAGAAATAACTACACTGCGTGAACAAGGGCTGTAAATATCTGGACAAAGAGCTCAGTATCATGCTCATGAGATATCGTGATAACATGTCTAATCAATTTAAATAATTATAGAGTAGGAAATAAAGGGATAAAAATCAGATAAACGCCGTCCCAAGATGCTACAACCAGCCGTTTCCGAATAATACACCTTTTACATCCATTCCGTTTTCCCCCTAATAGCATAACCTCATATACCAGCGATTATCTCATCGACAACGTCCAACAACATTCTGAAAGAATAGAAATCTGCAACACTCCTGTACACGCTCAAACGTTTCACCAACAGCTCCCTTTCCATCGTCAAAACCCACGCCCCTGAACAAGCACAGTGCTCTTGAAAGTCGTTTGCTTTGAGCTGCTTGCATTTGCCACACTTGAGATCCTGAGCATTGTAAGCCGTGATCATTTGCTGCAACTGTCCGATCATCTTTTCCTCGAATGCCAGTCTATCAAACTCTGTCCCGCAAAAGAGGCATTTCCACGCTTTCTCTCGGGCATGTGCTCCTTCACCTACCACATCTGGTATCAAGTCCTCGTCCTTGCAGAGATCCATATCTCGGGTCATCGTACAACTGGAACAAACAACTTGAGAAAATTTTAATGACTCGCTAGGATTCTCAAAGATGCCATCCTTGCTAAATTCTTTAACGTCAAACATGCCAAGAAGCTCCTTCCTTAGCACGCGTGCTTCGAGATTTATTTCCTTTGCTAGGCCAAAAACCGCTGTCAGACACCGGACCAATTGCAGAACAGGGTTTTTTAGCGGCTTGTATGCGCCAGGCAAAGAGGGAAATTCAAAGTCGACGTCGGGCTCTGAATGGAGCATCGATTCTTGAAGTCGACGAATCAATTGACCAATTTGTTTCCGCAATGGTTTTGAGAACTCCTTTCCAAGAACAATCTTGTCACTATTCTCGTCCTCTGAAACTTTGAAGTAGATTTGTGTAGGTCTAGGGGTTGACGGATCGGATCCTGAAGGTTCTGGGTGCTTCTGCTTGTGCATGATCTCAACAAACTCAACTACCCACTCGTTGAAAACATTCTGAAGGGCCTCGGGTAAAAACTTTGCAAATTGCCAATGCATTATCGTATTGAGTGGTTGTTCAATTTTATCCTCCTCGATATTTTGGCAGGCTTTACCGCCATGGTTTACCTCGTCATACCATACGAGATAGTCCCAGTACTCCTTGATTTCAAGATCTAGAAAATGGAATAGCGGCTTCGCCCGAATAGATTTTATGATGTACTCACTGTAGGCGAACGCGTTGCCTACATCAGCTTTTGTTGTCTGGACCAGAAGCTTGTTCGCGTTTGCAAAAACAACATTCGATCCAACTCGGCGAAAATCTGTCATTAATTGCAAGAGCGCCTTTTTCGACATTGTTTGAACATAGTAATGCAGGGCTCGATCGTATAGAAAAGAACCTGGATTCTCAACCCATCGCACTAGATGCTGAACCATGACGTCCGCTGTGTGGCTCCCTTTGCAAGCTTCCGCCCACCATGCTTTCACCATCTCACGTAGTACAGTGACGCCGGCTGTCGTAAATGCATTATCGGCAAATATTACATTGGTTCCGTCACTTGGATTGTCATCGGTTGGTGCTGCTGTGTTCAAGGACACAGAGTCACTCCCTTCAAGTTCATTGATCAAGGAGGAGGTAAGGATGGTGTTGATGGCGAGGTTCCGAACGTCTATTTCGATGCAGACCGAGGAATAAGAGCCTGGATTGTTGATAGCAGGCATTTCCACCGTTTCGAAGGCTCCAACAATATCATCCTTCTCATACCCCCCATGATCTGGTTTTGGTGAAGGTGACCACCAAAGCACAACATTATTATTTTGTAATCGCCGAGCATAAGCAACATCAATTAAATAGCTAGGGTCATCTTTCTCGAGATTGCAGATTGGAACATCACCATAACGCGCCAATTCCATGTAGTCAGAGATCCAGGATCCCAGGGCTAGGTAACGAGTAACGATACGTTTTGCCACAAAAGTTTGCCAACCCAAGGGCGGAAGGTTGCTGTCAGAAGCATCTGAGCGTAGTGATAAAATCGGAAAATCATTTAAAGCAGGTACACTTTCCACTAAGGCTCGTCTCTGTGAAGATTGAATGACTAAGACAGTCGGTTTCGACTCTTCGGAGCGAACTTTCTTAACGAGATCACTCAACCCCTTCTGTAGCTTCTTTTTCGTGTTGACGTACGATATATCGAAGCGTAGCGTCTCAGGATAATCAAATGAAGTTTGCCAAGGGCCATTCTGTTCTTTGTATCTCCGGGAGAATTGTTCAGCGTATATTTTTTCCATATTCGGCAGATTTTGTGCGTCTCGGGTGGTATTATAAACGAGTACGTGGGCTTCGTCTTTTGCAGTCGAGAAAAGTCCAAAGATTTGTCGGTCCCCAGCAATTACGTGATATAAGAAACCAAATTCTAGCGGGCTCTCATGGAGGTAAGGCTTAGTGTCAACCTTTGCCTTGAGTGTCGATAATTCAAATCCGTGTTCAAGACCTTTCCCAAGAACACCTATCTGAGTATCATCAAAGGTACAATTGTTGCCCAACTCCAACAGAACTCGAGTCTCTAGTGGTACTTGTGTTTCATACACACCTTCCACACTAGGGTGGTTGAAGATGACAGAGAATGCTTTGGCTTCTTGGATGAATGTATCTTCAGGAACCGTGAGCTTAGAAAGGTTGGTCGATGGATGTCCATTGGGAAGAATGTGATTCGTTTTTTCAATTGTGCATCCTTTCACAACAACCCTGGGAAGATCATCGTTTCTGAAATTGATGAACACTTGGCGGGGCACCTTGATCTTTAAAGTAACAACTTTTTTATCGACCAAGATAAAAGCTCGAATTTCACCAGGCATATTAGTGGCCCTGAGCTGTAGAATCTCCCAAGTGCCCGAAAGCATTGACTCTATCTGGTTTCTGAAGAAGGTCCCTAATTTATCGCTCTGCGGGCCGCTCCTATCACCAAACAGTTGTTTCCGTCTCATCCTGGCATGCTTTTGCAGTTTCCACTTCTTCTTCTGGTACTGTAGCCATTCTCGATAATCCTCGGTCATTGAAGGCATGATTTCAGGCAGACTAGCAAATGGATCGTTCGGCGCAACGCTCTCTGGAGCTTTCCTCTTTTGAAGTCTTACAGCAGTCCCGACCAACATTGGCTTTGCTACCGATGCGTTGCCAAAGTCTTCCATGTCACCTAGGCTGGTAGCTTGTAAGCTGCTCGCAACCTCGTTCACTGGAGCAATTCTTTTTCCAAACATATCTGTCATTTTCTTTTGTTTGAATTTGTCGTCTTTGATGTTAATCCGCCTTTGTAGCCACTCAGGATGAGCAACCCTCGGTACTGGATTCCGCACTTTTTGAAGCGCGGCTGGGATGGTAATGAGTTTCTGGATGACAGATCCCAAACGCTCGAGATAGTAGTTCCAATCAAGGAGTGCCCGTGGATCCATATCGCTAGGTTCCTCTTTCAACCACTTCCTCAAGAAATGTCGCTTCACGGACAGCTCTGCAGAGAAAATGGCAACTGGGATAGCTCTCTCTGTAACTGGAGCATCCCTAGGTTTTGAACAAATAATATATTTGCAATTTAACCCCTTATCTTTCACCATCTGCTCCCCCAAGAACTCAGCCAGCCTTTTTGCCGTGGTAATAGACGTTGATTTCTGGGAGCCGTACTCTGCAAGAGTCTTCGACATGCTCCTGTTCTCGCAAATCAAGTCGATAAGCTCTTCGTCGGCTAAGGTAGAACCGCGTTGATGAAGCACGTCTAGCCACCTGTTGGCAGTCTTTGCAACCGCTTCATAACACTCTGTTAGGGTGGTGCCCTCCAGAAAGAACTTGAAGATTTGAGACTGAAAAATCTTGATGAGCTTTAGTTCACCACGGCGTTTGACTTCAAATCCCTTCAATTCTGCTAAGCTCCCGTCATGGTTGAAAACGGCGTAACGTTTCTTCAAATTTTTGTCTTCTTCCTTTGATGTGGGCAAGATCATAGCTCTGTACGGACCATCTACTTCGAAGAAAATACTGTTTTCGCTATGTGTCTCGTATCTGAATGTTTTCGGATCCTTAAGTTCTTGGTACTGATGATTCGTAAATTTCGCATGGACAAGATGATTCAACATGACACAAGGATAGGAAATCGGAAGTTTCTTCCCACCCTTCAAAGCGAACGCAAAGTTCTCTGGAAATGTGGCTGGGAGGATACACCAAATACCATCGGTATCCAATTCCAATGGTCGCCCTATTCGTTCAACCAACTCCTTAGCCATCTGAATGATGTGTGCACCAGTAAGACAAGTTACACCAGCCATTTCCATCGAATACCATCGAGATCCCTTTCTCATAACATATCCATAGAAAGAGTTGAGAATGACTTTATGCGCAAGTTGAAGTGAGTCAAATAGAATCACCATTTTCTTGGCTTCGTCGATTTCTCCAGCTGTTGCACCGGAAGATGCAAGATCATCTGTCTTGCGCTTCCAGACCTTCTGCTGTCCTTTGAAGTCATACCGACGATCACGAAAATCCTTTACCGTGTCCACATAGAAAGGATTCTCGCGTTGGCAGATAATGGCTTCCTTTTCGATTGTTTTGCTCTCATGAATCTTATGGTAGATTTTCTTAGAATATTCTTGCAATCGCTTCTTTATAGCATTCGATTGGTCCTCACTCGAAAGGTCATTCCAGGTTCTTGCCGGCTGGTTTGGATACCTTGGTGGGAAACGCTCATTCTCGAGTGCACGCTTAATCATGTTATATTCGTCGCGCTTTGCAGGAAGGTATTCGCCACGCCAGGCCCAGGGTAATCGTCGATCACATGTTTTTCCAGGACGGTTGAAATCGCAGGCTGCGCAGTCGGACTCTTGGATCATAGAGTCAGGCTGAAGACGATTTGTAGTCATAATGTTTGGGTACATAGAGGCTACGTCTAAATGATAGATCGAAGGCCGTTCGTTTCTTATCGGGACCTCTTTAAGCTTCATGAGCCTGGATTTAATCTGTTCTTTTATCTATAGATATTTTATAGTAAGCATATGTATTTTCAGATGAAAAAAAGGTGTTCCTGACTTCCTCGTAGTTCGTGACATCCTCCACCTTTTTCTTCTCCTCCACAACAATACTAAAGGATAGAGCGGCATCCAGGTCTCGTATTAACTATATTCATCATTAGATCATCAAAGTTGCGGGGGATGTTGATATTAGACAACAAACTCACATCATCGATCGCCTTCGTATCAATCACAAAATTCACTGGCAGATCAGAACGAAATATCCCACACTCAATAGACTCGACATGCCCCCCCACGTATGTCTCTGACTCTAGTAAATGTCCCTCATAGAAAGCCTCTTCTGTTTGTTTATGTTTATTCGGCAGAACAATATCCTTGAGGTATGCTTGCACCTATATAATTTGGAAAACATAAGCGAGTGTGATGTCATGATTTGAATATTTCCCTACTTACCATCAATAACATCTCACATAACGTTCCCGTGCCCTTTCTCAACACATCGTCCGGACCTAATGGAATAATTGTACATAGCGAAAAAACGAACGGATGCACATATTTCATATAGAGGTAATATGTTGCCACAGCATCGGAAACCGAGTATTCTGCCAAAGTCTGCGGTTTTTCTATCGCATATCTTTCCACTTGCAGTCAGTTCGATTAGACTAAACGAGGTAGTAGAAGATTTGACAAACCTCGTCATAAGTTCTGGATCTAACTCGTCCGGGTCATATCCCAACTTTGCAGTCGTAACCGCCTTGAGGCCCTGACTTCCTTGTGGTAGATATGAATCTCTTTTTACCCATGAAAACGCATCCATGTGCGCACAGTAATTGCTCTGGTACACGTCCTCACTATTCTTTCGGAACCCAATCTCAGTGTACATATCAATTCCTAATAGACTGGCTCTGGCCTCGACAAACGGCCAATCGAAGAAGTCTCCGTTATATGTCACCATTACTGTGGGTTTTGCCTCCTTGATATGCTCAAAAAAGCGCTCAATTACAGCCTTCTCGTCAGGTTCGTTGAAGATGATGAATTGACCCTCGTATTCTGGGCGAGGGGTGTATTCAAAATCCTCGATATCCTGTGAGACGATTTCTCGATTGGTAATGAGGAACCCTTGACCTTCAATCATGTATGATATCATCATGATTTGGTCAATTACTGCATCAGGGAATTTCAAGGGGAGTTTAGTAGTTTCGATGTCATAAGCCATAACAACAGGCTCCGCACGCTTTAAACGGTCCTCAATAAGGGAGAGTGAGACTTCCCCGTGCTTTGCTTCAACGTTGTACCAGCGACCGACTCGGATATCTGTAATCCATTGTATTAGAATTTTTTCTCGATATGAGGGTCAAGTATCTTACTAAGGTCGATAGCTACACGGACATGGTACGGAACATCATACTCTCGGATGTCGATTATATAGTCACTGGCGTCTACAGTCGCGGCCGTTTTTCGATCCGTACCATCATCAAGGAAATCGAAGCCAGAATTTGCACTTAATGAAAGATAATCAGCATATATATAATGGCCGATGAAATGGAGGAGAGCAAACCTGACAATCTCCGCATAAGCATCCATGGCATTGACGTTTTTTTTATTCTTCTCCGCTATGGGCATAAGAACTTTCCGCACGGAAAGCAATTCCGATACGTTATCAAATTCTAGCTTTATGAATGTCCGCCGGTAGCCTAGCAGATGGTTTGGCATTTGCAGATCCTCTTTTGTTAATCGAGACATCTTTTTGACGACACCCTCGAATTTTCGGCGTAGCCATTCTTCTACTTCTCCTTCAAAGCCGAGCTATAACCGCGGGATATACTATCAGTGTTTCTGTCATAATTTGGATCGGAGTCCTTGAACTCCATACCTTTGTCGCGATCAAGAAATATGGATCGTACATGACAGTAGCTTTGAATGAGCCTCCGAAATCGTCTAGAAAATAATAGTCCATCCCTGCCTTCCCACCTACGACTTGGTCGTCTTCAATCGTCGTCTATCACACGGTTCAATTAGCCCCAAGCACCTCCGGGCATGGCTCCCTCATTGTTTTCAAGAGCCAAACTCACCGCATGCATATTGATCAGCCATCCGATCTTTCTAGACCCAGATTCGAATCGCTCAAATCCCATCCTATCATCGATTTCGTTGGCAAGCTTCGTATTCTCAAACTTCTCCTCCACCGACGTTCCATCCGTAGCTAGTAGTGACTTCGCATCGATCGTTTTCGTCTTCTTATACCGACCGCCCGCTCTTGCACCAGAGCCAAATTCGCCGCCCTTACCACCTCGAGAGCCACCACGGCCCCGAAAGTTTGTTCCCCGTGGTCGTGAAGCCATAGATTGAGGAATGGATGAAGGGGGTGCGCGGGCACAAGTGAGATGGTGATAGCAGTGATGTGTGTATTAGTTGAGCCTATGGGTGAGAATCGTAGATCAATAATCATGAAGGTATGCTAATGAGGTGTATAATTGACAGGCTTCTGTGTTTCAAACCTTCTCCTTGGGTGCCAACATGAGCTTGTTGGCCCTTAAGGTTGTCGCGTCTGTAAATCTTATGGGTTAGGGTTGACAGCGCGGCGGAAAATTAAGCGTGTGAGAGCGCGAGCCCTTGCCAAGAGATTAACGCGCCCGCCAAGATCACTTTCACTTTAACCTCTGCAGGGACGTGATCGCTTTTCAGGAACCAATGTCAACCAACGTCATTAGGCAACGTTTTTTTGGTGATATTAGACCTGACTATCGTACTAGCTGCTAGTACGCGGACTAGACCACTAATTTCTCTGTCTAAGTGTTGGTTAGGATTATACTTCTACTTTCTAACTCCTAAATCAGGCTCTAACTAGTAAAGTGCCGAATCAGAACTGATGACGCACTGCAGTGTTGAATTATTCTATGGGTCATTTCACCTATTATTCCGAAGGCTATGCGCTGGATACACAAGGTTTCATGCAGATATGGGATCGCTAGATTTATAGAATATCGTCAGCAAGTACTGGTCGCTGAATAATTATCGAACTAAACCCACACAGGTAATTTATACAATTCTATAGGCGACTCCTCTGTCTCCGGGCATGAATTGGTGTAATTGGGTAAACCGCTAGTAATCGCTAAAGTCTACATGTAAACCTGGCATTATGTGATTATACCTACATGTTCTCTTACGGAGAGCGCGATGATCGAACCAGTTTCCTCCCTTGCCCCCCTTTCGGCCGTTATCACCTGCTACTTCACTGTATACAGAAACTTTTTATAATCTATAAAGTCATTAGAACATTTTTCGGTGAGAGACTGGATATATATATACTGTCTCGCTATCTGTTCTTATAGGCTTTGTAATCCGCTGCTTGCTCTGTTGAGGCCTTTACTGCGTCTCATAAGGTTCAGGAAGGGTGATATATCACCATAACTACATGTACTCTACTAAGGTCGCAAGATATAAGATCTCCAATGTCCAAAATTCCCCACAATCAGATCCTAGAAACCATCACACCCTACCGCCTTTCCCGCCAAGCCCATTTACTCCAATTCTCACTCGGCTCTGCCTCGTAGCTTACGTAATATTGACTACAAAACAATGACGATATGCACCACACCCCGCCAAACCAACCGCACCAAACCCATCCCGGGCACAACTTCTCACTCTACAAACCACCACAAAAATGGCAGAAGACGCCCGTGAAGTCGCTGAAACCTCTCGGGAAGCCGTGACAACCCTGCCCAAAAAACCCTACACACCGCCAGCACCACCCTCAGGCGCAAACGAGTATGCCCGACCCGCGCAGGCCACCCTCACGGATGCTGTGAAGTCAATTTCAATGGAGGACTTTAAAAATGTTCATATGCAGCCGTGCGTCCGTAACTCACTGCTTTATGGTATTGGGACTGGGTTTGCGTTCGGAGGGTTGAGGCTGGTTCTAGGAGGTACTGCTATTCGGATAATAGGTGTTAAGTATAGTTGCAATTGGCTGATGAAAGTGGCCAAACAGCTTCCGTACCAAGAGCGGCGAACTGGGCGGCTGGCACATTTGCGGGTGCCTCGCTCATGACATATGAATTCTGCCAGTTCCGGCGGCACCGGGAAAAGGCGGGGATGCAACGGGCGATCGAGATTATTGATCGGAGGAAGGCGGAGAGGGAAAAGCAAATGGCAGAAAAAAAAGAGAAATTGAGGGTTGAACGGGAAGAGAAGGCGAAGGCCGAAGAGGCGGCCAGGATTGCGGCGATGCGGCCGTGGTATAAATTCTGGTGAGTGAAATGAGGTGTAACATATTTGGTGTAAATAGGGCTATTATTGGCGTCATGCTTTTCTCTCGAGTTTATAAAAGGAGCTGTAATGATAAGATATTGAGGTCTAGGGCATATAATACTTGACTTTGTTCGATGGCTGAATGCAATAATCGCGCAGTAATTGAATGCACAATAGTTACATATAATTGTAGTTTTTGCGTGTGTATCCCTTCGGTCGTAATAAAGTTCCTACAACAACGGTGGAAATTCGAAATATCTCAACAGTCACGGACGCTATGCTTATTGCAGATGGCTCAAAAGAAAAGAGGCCTCCCCCGAACGTCCCTGTGCAGTCGAATCTTTGTTGGAAGAGCTTGGCGCACCTCGAGGTGAAAAAACCGGAAGAAAATATTGGTCCAAAAGGACCACAATATCGGCTGTTACGGCCCAGGGGATAGATAGAGGAAATGATAATAGAAATTTAGATAAGACATAATAAGCAATAATAAAAAAAATCAAATAACCCCCCCATACCGCCCAAACAAGACCGGCCCCCAGCCCACATGATATTGAACACAGAGCTGTAACAATATGTACCTATACAAAGAGATATAATACCTTGAAGATTTCCAACAACGCCAACCCTCCTCACCACTAAGTATCAGACAGAAAATAAAATAACAGATGTTTGTTGACCTACCAACTCCAATTGAATTCTGGGTGGTGGTGTATAAATATGTAGTTGATCGTGCAGGCCACAGTGCACTCAAACCAACGATGCCAGGTCAGCTATACTACAGGGTCGATTTTGAACTGGACAGTCTTCTTCCTGCCGCCTTCATCTGAACCTTCATTTTGTGCGCTTTCACCCGCCGCCACCTGCTGTCGTTCCGGGAAGCTTCTTCTTCTCCGTCTCGACTCGCTCCTCTTCTCACGGGCCTCTTTCGATATTCTAGCCTTGTATTCCTTGATCTGCTCAATGAGATCAATATCAGTCGGCTATCCACATGGCGACGAAATGCCCCATGAGCAAATGCACATACCTGCTGCATCCGCTTCTGAGACCTGACATAACGTTGAGTAGGTGTTGGGCGATATCCAATCCCAAGCTGCTCCGTATCATTAGAATCTACATCCTCGTTCTCGTCCATGACCACAGCTTCATCGCCCTCTCCCGTATCCATTCTCGATAATGGGGGTGAGCGCAGGCGCGCCCGCTTTGTGTGATTATTATTATTACGATCTTCCTCCATTTCATCACCTCCATTTGAAACACTCCTGGTTGCTAAAGGTGGCTCATCCACCCATTCTACCCCACCTTTTTCTTTAGCGGTAACCTCTGCCGACTGGATATGTCCATTCTCGCTCCCATCCATCGATGAATCACCATCGTTATTCTTTGTTAATACCCCGACACTTCTATTCCCTGCTTTTGTCATCGTGGTAGCTATTAATCTCGTCTTGTTTTTTGGTTTCTTGGCCGCCGGCTGCCCCGTCGTCATTGTGGTAGCGGCTGTAGCAATCCCCAAGTCTCCGCTCGTAAATATTGGTCTAGCTACTGATAGATTCAAATCCTCCAACTGACTTGCAAGCCTCCTCGACCTTGGCGATGCCTGACCACTACTCGGGGTAATAACCTCCAGATCGTCCGCAGTCTCCACATCGGTAGCCTCATCGTCCTCATCCGTGAGCGCTGGCTGAAGTCGCCATGGAGTCTCAGGAACCCCAAGGGGTGATCTGTCGCGCTTCCGTTTCAGTGGTGAAAAGTAGTTCGTTGTGGGAGCTGTAGTAGCTATGTTGGTACTGATGGTAGTACTCATTGTCGTCATCTTTGGGGAGGAGAAGTGAGTATAGGCAGCGTACTCTTCTGTACTCATATGCGGCGGTAGTAGAGCTTCGGCGTCGCTACGCTCACTGCTCATGGTGTCCAGGGCTGTTTTGCAGGTACAAACAAGCAAGCAATAACAAAAAGAAAACAAAAGGACGTCAGATCATGTCATATCGCAGGACAACAACAAGAAGAAGAAATGTGGGAACGAAGGGTGTTTTAATTGTTGGCCTGGATGGTTGGATGGTTGGACTTGAGGTATGGTAAGGTAGGTATTGATCAATTCGCTCTGTTTGTATGTACATACATCGAAACAGGATATGATCTTCACTCCACGGCTATTGCTTATGTGTTGTCCCCCAGCCCTAGAAATAAGAACAAACAAGCCCGCATAATCCGCATAATAGACTATTCACGTGAAATATGATTGAACTGTGATTTCGAGGATTCATGTATGTACGTACATGTGGTTGTTAAGCTTGAGTACCTACATGTAGCTACATACTTAAAAGGTCAATTTCCCAATACTTATTTGTAACTAAGTAAAAGTACGTGCGGAAGCGGAAGCATCATTCCCGAACCCTGTGGAGATCGTTGGTGAATCTGCCGTTTCTTGGCGATTTTGTTGGCATCCAGCAAGTCTCCTAAACCTTAAAAGCAAGCCGTATGGTGCGGGGTTCCGTTCTGAATGGCGCTGGTCATCACATGTGAGACGTCGAATCCACACAAAATACCTATTGGAACGAGCGAGTGCATATCGATGACGGACTATTATTTCTATATTATGACATTTCTATCAATTCATCCAATCAACACTAAGCAAATTTTAAATATTCCAAAATAAATTGCTCAAAGCCCATTCTGATTTCATCGTCATAATCATCGCTGATTAAAAAAACAAAAAGAAAAAAAAGTTTGATACGATTACCCATCCGATCAAATACCACCTTTCCAGTAAACACCAAAAGAAAAGCAAGGAAAGGAAAGATAATATGAATCTTGTTTAAAGATACCCCTCATGCCAATCTGAAGATCGACAAATTCTAGAGATAGAATAAAAACTCATAGGGGTGTTACCATATCTTCCCTTCCCCTAAACCCACACGCAGATGAAAAATGACAGCCACATAAGAAAACATCCCTCCCACCAAACTCGCCCACACAGATAGATATAAATAATCCTAGACCGCTGTAACTCAACCGCTCCACCCTTTAGATCTGGAGCAAACACCTTTATCTTTCAAGAATTACACAAAAAGGAGCCCGCTCTAAACCAGGAAAACTCGTAGAAAAATGGATTCAAGAATCGGGAGAGATGAGGAAGAGTAACTACTATAGGTCAAGAACAGAGAAGGGAAAAAATACATGCTAAACTTTTGGCCACGCGTCTCACAGACCCTACAGAATATCTAGTAATCCACCCAAAGTTATGCGAAATAACGGCGAGCCGCGTTGTGTCGCTCAACAGGCATTGAGCCTAGAATCTGAGAGATTGAGACCCCCGCAGTGCTGAACAAGTTCTTCGTAACTGCAACGACTCTCTCTGCGGTTTGTCCTTGAATAGTCTCGGCATCCAGCGCCTGGAGAACAGAATCGAAGATCTGTGGGACTTGATTCATCACAGCCGGGTTTTTTCTGTAGCACTTTTAATCAGCATTCAGAATGATGGGAGAAGGAAAGAATCGAGATTAGAGAGTCATACTGATCGATCAACTCGGCCAAAAATGTGTACGCAAACGGTGCTGCCTCATCATCATTCACTATTGGTAAGGTTGATACCCAGGCCTGAACTACGGCTTGAACGTCGGCGACCTTGCTGTTATTGAAGTGAAGAATCTTTGCAATTGAGGCGCACGCGTTTTCAGTAGCAAATACATGGTCATCCGACCTAGCTTGTGGGTGCTGGGTAACCTCAAACAGCTTCGGAATAGTAGCAGCCACAAAATCAGAAAAGAGAGGACCACCATTTTTCGCGGCGATACCGACACCATAGGCTGCTGCCTGTCTGTTTGCAGGGATATTATCTGACAATCCATCGATTAGAGGCTGGACGAAGTGAGCTTGGTACTTCCACGCCTCCGGTCCACAGAACTCAAGAACATCATCCATCATGCAAAGTGCCCACTGTCTCTGAGTAGGATCCGCATTGGTGATAAAAGCATCATAGTAAGGGAGCAACCGTTCCCACTGAGGTAAGAAAGATACACCCTGGTTCTTAAAGACTGTGTGGAAAGCCTTGTTCATGTCCGAAATAAGAGTCTGATCATCCTCAATAGCATAAAGCATTTCTTCAGTATCTTCCCTCTCCTCCTCCGGTTTGCTTTGTTCTTCCAGTCGTCCAACCACTCGTCCTTGGTATTCTATCAAAGCATTTTCTGCGCGCTCGATAAAGGTAGCCATCAACTCCTGGGTTAAGCAACCCCGCCCAACAACTTCGACTGATTCATAGAAGCATTGGTACAGCTCAGCCAATGTCTCAACAGCAGGTTCCGAGTTGAGCACTTCGAGAATCTTATGAACTGTGGGTTGCCAAATTTCTGCCAGTTGCCGGGAAGAAGGCCCGTGGGCTTTCTTTATTGAGTTAAGGAGTTGAGGCACACATCTCGCCGAGGCCACACGAACTGCATCGTTGAAGAAGAAACCAAGACCAGGAAGAGCAATGTTTGTCATCACGGTATTGACGTAAGGCTCGAATGCAGCCTCCAACTGTTGGGCATAGATAACCAAGAGCTCGATAGCCATATACTTGTCATCCAATGCAGATGTCTTGATACCAATGTATTTACCTCGGACAGGGAGAAGTTCCCAGCCCTCTTCTTGTTCCACCTGTGCAATGTGCTCGTCATCTAAAAAAAAAAAAAAAGAAGTTATAAAACATTAGAGATATAAAAACCAGATCCTGGATAGGTACTGACCATCAAGCAATTGAACATTTGCCTTTGCGCTAGCAAGCTCCAGAAGAGGTGGCATAACAGCGGTAAGATATGGCAGGAAATCATTGCCCATAACACGGCACATACGGCCCCAGCAGTGAAGCAGGTAGGACCCTTGTGGGTCATCGGGATCAGTTACATTTTCTATGATCAAGTTAGCATCAAAAAAAACCCAAAACCTCATAGGTTCACATACGTTGAATACGACCGAGAACCTGAACCAACTGAACCGCATCATCGCCCAATCTTTCCCTTCCAACAGCCAAAGCGATCAAAGTAGCGCACTCCATAGCCTTAGCGTTCAATAGTCGAAGGTCCTTCGATTCAGGATCTTGCGGTCTGTTCAAAACGTTGAAAAGTAGAGGCATTAATGTATCATAATATCTGGAGAACGCAGCTTCTGCTGAGTCCGCAATGGTAGCAATCGTTGACAATGCCTGCTCCTGGACATAGCGTTTCTGATCATTGGTCAGCAGGGCCAGCAAGCACCGCAAGAGCTCGTCAAGATAGGGCTCCAAGATCTCCTTCTCGGCCTCCTCGCAGAAGTTGACTAAAGCAGCTGCAGCATGAGACTGGACTCTATATATTTGAAATAAGATTAGTAATCGAATTGGCCTTTTTTCTGGTGTTTTTGTTACCTTGGCTCAGGAGATTCCAGAACAGGGATAATGTTGCTTAGAACGACCTGGTGATGCTTTTCCTGCATCGGGCCAGCAAAATCTGTGCTCATTTGGCCCAAGGCGTTGCATCCTGCCCACCTTACGCGAGGATGGGCGTCTCTCAATGCCGGGACAACCAAATCCAAAATTTTGTCTAACTCTTGTTCCATCATGTCCCTACAACCTTCTGAAATGGCAGAGATGGCCATCAAAGCAGCATGGCGATCACGCCACGCAGATGAGGTCATCATCCTAGGTAGCCATTGGAATGTTGGCGCAAGTAGCACGGAGCCTCCAAGTTTGTTTGCTAGGCGATCCATACATTGCTCACCAGCAACGTGGTTAAGGTCACTTTCATCCATATCGAGCTAAAAGAGGTTCATAAGTTAGCCAGGTCAGTAAAGGTTAATACGGAACTTACATCATCAGATTCGTTCCATTCGCTTGCGTCGTCATCGTCATTACCGATATCGGTCATTAAACTCAAGCACTGTGTCACCATCTCCGAAGTGTAAATAGGATCCTTTTTGCACATTATTGGCGCGTTATCAGCGAATGTAGCCAGCAACTCCAATGCGTTTTGTCGCGCTTGATCTCCTAAATCCTTATCTTGAACCACCGAAATCCCAAACTTAACTACATTATTGAACAGTGGTTTGAACATTAGTGGAGCAAGTTCTGCCAAATCTATAAGCGCCATGAGTGCCCTGGAGAGGTTTTCGGTATCCTGGGCGTCTTTAATTGGCGGTAAAACGTTGAGGATATGAGTAAGTAATGGGTAAAACCCCTTTTGTGCAGCCTTCCTGATTGATCGAAAAAATGCAGAGAATGCTTCCATAGCTGCTATCCTCACACTCAAATTATCGTCTTCGAAGCCGGCCACAAAAACCCCATTCACGAGTTCTCCATGCTGTTTTTCGATGATACCGGGGGTTGTAGCAAAAATTCTGAAGGCACCCTCTCGATGGCTTGGGTCAGGTAGTTTGCTAGCCTGAAACAACACATTCAAAAGCTCAGGCCATGCCACATCTGCGCAAATTGGGTTAGTACCAAAAAGCCATGAACTCAGAAAGGAATATAACTATGAAATATGAAAACAAAGAGATAAAATCCAGCATTGGGCAACGTACTAGCATCAGTCAACTGCCTAGCCACTTCCGCTACTGCATCACCAATCTTATTCCTTGAGGACTTTTCCGTTTCATCGGCAAAACATTGTAGCAATAGCTCCCGTATATACACCATCACATTTGAGGGCAATGTCAAGTACATCTCCTGTGGTTGGGACCCTTCTGTTCGAGTCTTGGCCGCTATTCTTCGGAATAGTACTGCGGCAAAAGCTCGAGCCTATCCAAAAAAATTAAAAAATCCATGAGTATATGAATGAACAAAATTCAATTTCCACATTTGGTGACTCGGTAGGGTAATGAGGTGATAGATGGGGGTGTTACTCCGATAACGATAAAAAAAAAAATGAAGTGAAGACCACTTTAGGGATAGTGGAGTAGTAGATGACATACAGTAGTGTGCACGCAGGGATTTGGGGGGGGGGGGGGCTGGGATACGAGTACATGTAGGCAGAAGAAAGGGCGGGGGAGGGGGAATGTGGAAACTCACAGCAGGATCATCTGCTACTCTGACTTGCTCAGCAAGCCCAGACAAGAGCATTTCCGGACTTTTGGCTATCCATTCTTTGCCCAAACTCTCTTCTGCCTGTGTCCTGGTGGCATTATCGCTAGATGCGAGGCCTTGGAGAAGCTGCTGGAGTGCCAGCATGACTTGTGGGGGCAGCTGTGATGACATTGCTGCAGCTTTATGGGTACGTGGCTGAAGATCAAAACGTTTAAAAGAAAATAAATAAAGAGAAAAGAAAAGAAGGGAACACTGTTCGTTGTTTAGGGCTAGAGAGAAGGAAATAACCGGTAGAACTAGTGGAGGACGAATGAGAGAGCTGAGAGAGGAAGAGAAGATGGAGGAGACAATGAGAGATGGGGGAGGGGAAGTGGAATGGAGTGGAATAGGTGTTGTGTGTTGTAGATGTGTAATTTCTGACGTGCGTATGGAGGTGTGTAGTGCGGTGTGCGTTTTAGACTGCGTCGGCGAGAATGAACACAGACAACACGAAAGGAGGGGGATCTACGGTAGCAGCTGTTGCACCGAGAGGAGACAAATATGAGATAATGAGAGGGCAAGCAAAAATGTTGAACGTTGGACGCTGGACGTTAGACGCTGGACGTTCAACCTTTGATGGTTAAGGCAGAAGAAGGTCTTTTCACGGCTGTCTTTTGTTTTCTTCCTATTTGTCCTGCTTTGAGGGTTTCCACTTTTTTTGCGGATTGGACTGTTGTGTCTTGGCATTGCTTGTGGCAGCAGCCGCACTGGCAACCCCGCCAAAATTACATGGATTGTAACATGCCTTTTTCACACTGCTGAGTGCAACATGTATCTTATATGTTCTTGTCGCAAATAGAGATGATATGTAGATCGCATTAGAAAGACATAAAGGAACAAAAGATCAAACCCAAGAAAAATCAGATAAACTTGTACGGCCATGCTAAAAAAGAAAAGAAAAAAACGTAAAGGAAATGGTCTTAAGAGAACGCTAATAGGGTGGAGGCCGCATGAAATCAGGAATAAAGTCAATTACAGAAAACGCTCGGCTCATATGAGATACAGCGGAAATTGGATGAGAAGAATGGGGAAGCTCTTGAAACCCGTCATAATAGCTTAAAATGGGTCTCACGTAGTTTCGGTATCCAGAAGCAGAAAAGAAAAACCTCTACAAGTTGCTATGGGCATACTATCCTAGATAACCCAAAACACCGCTCCAGGGCTGGCGCTCCTGCTCCGGACATAATCTTTCAGCAGTTTTACCAATATGCCCTCCTGTACAAAATATCCTAGTCACTCAACATATTATTTTCGTGACATCGCGAAAACGGCAACTATAGCCACAGCGAGGGTGACGATGGCCCCAGGCAAGATCAAATCGTTTGGAACCCCAGGAATAAGTTCTGGCTTTAGTGGTTGCGGAGCTGGCTGATGGGACCTCCTGCTTATTGGGACATTTCCCTCAACATCGGAGTCTTCTTCACTATCATCGTGGCGCCTACGTCCGCCCTTTCTTTTCCTAGGGGGGGTGGCATGCGCCACAGACTCAGGCCTTGGCTCGACGGTTGCCGGGACCGCCGGCTTGTCTGGATCGTGAACATAGAGATCAACCTTGTCCCTCCCTCCCTGTCTGGCCATATCCACCGCATCTACCAGATCCCTGTCGGAGGTGATCGAAACAACATCCCCCTCGCTATCAACGTAACTCATCGCAAAGCCTTGTTCCTCGAGCTTTCCGTCCGGGCCAAAGGTTGGCTCTCCGCCGACCTGAATAACCTCATGTCCGAGTTTTTCTACTACAGCTCCTAGAAGTTCTCCAAGACCGCCGCTGGGTGCAACCTGGACACGGTGGATACGCCCACTTGGTGCCTTGAACTTAAAAGGGAATGGTGTGTCGAGAGGGTTTGAACCTAAGGGCATCATTTGAGAGCCCCCTGGGGAATCACCACCATGATGGGATGCAGAGTCAGTAGGGAAAAGAACACTGCTTTCAGCGCGTTCCATAGATAAACCACGCTCCATACTGCTGGCACCATGTCTATGTCCGGTGACGGGCGATGATGGCCCCCCAATATTATTACGGGATGCTGTGTGCCTGGTGCTGTCGGACACGACCGATTCAGAATCGTTATCAAGAGAAAGCCAAAATTTGTTCCAAGCAGGCCCTTCGCTGTCGCCGGTACCCATAGAGTTTATCTACTCGGTATGTCAGTCCCGAATTCTTCAGAGGTATTACACATCTTTGCGAATATTTTACCTGCTCTAGTGTAGCATATGTCAATTTCAAGACATCAACCATGCCCACGATTTCGCCGCTGTCGTTCATAACCGGAAGGTTCAAGTAATGTCCATCTGTCCGTTGCTATCAGTGTTTAATCCCGGGCACCCATGCTCTATTGGTTCAGCTAACTCACCATGCATTTTCCTGAGGGCAGCTTGGATACTCATATCCAATGGTGCGAAATCGGGGTGCGGTGTCATAACCCTAACAACACTACAGTTTCCTGGGTCCAAGCCTGCAGCGATAACTCTCAAAACCACATCTTTGCTAGTAAAAATACCCGTGATGTTTCCATTATCCTGTACCAAAACCGCAGTTGTGTGATGTTCTCTCATCAAAGCAGCAGCTTCTCTGACTGTAGTCCGGACGTTGACAACTGTCGGCGGGTTTCCATCCAATACAGATTCCAAATTTGGGCCGGACATCTTCTGTCTCAAGGCCTCAACATAATGAATAATTTGCTGGGGTTGAGATGATCCCAACTCGGACTGGACACCTTCGAGAGCATCGTAGAGCTTCCTTGAAGAAGCATAAGCACGTTCGAGTTTTTCCATTGCTTCGTAAAAGCACTTTGTGATATCCAGGATACCCGAAATATCCGCATTTTCATCCATAACTGGCAAATGCCGGAACCCTTTCCTAACCATAAGGTCTAGAGCATCTGTCGCAGATGTATCGGTCCGCGCACAAAGTGGATTCTTGGTCATAATGGAAGCAATAGTAACATCTCGGGCGTCGATTCCTTGCCCGACAACACGGAATGCAAGATCCTTTGCTGTAAAGATACCGGCAATTCTATCTTCTTCATCGGTAACAAGAACGCAATCTTCACGCTTTGCGGCCATAATCTGAGCAGCCTCTGCTACGGTAGTGTTCGGCTTGATTTGAAGCGCTTGGGAGGGGCGTAGGGCCATGACTGTGCCTGGAGCAATCTTTCGGGTTTGGCGAGACCTGGGAGCGCCAGTGTGCTTCTTTTTGTTGAGGTCATTTTCGATCTTACGGCGTATTGCCTATTTGATCGAGAGATATAACATGTTAATACTTGGGTGGCCGGATGAGCTAAAGAAATGCCTCTTCTCTCGGTTGCCGGGTAGAAGGATTAAGTAATAAAAGGGTTGAAGAACAAACCTCGTCTCTTTTACTCTGCCTTTTCCTACTATCAGTCATTCCTGAGAGTTCAGATTGGGGAGCAGCGGCGGCAGGACTGGCGGGTGCAGGGGTAGTGGAGGGGTTGGAGGGGAAGCTGGGGGTTCCAGAGCGCCCTTGATTACCAGGCCGTTGGTTGCCTCTAAAGGCACCTCCCCCTCCTCCTCCTCCAATAGTTGACATGATGAATAGCGAGGGTGGGTTAGATAGAACGATCAAAGAAGAAGATCAGGAGATAGAGACAGAGAGCGGGGAAGGATGGGGAAAAGAAGGGAGAAGTAAGACGACCGACAAGAAGAGATGAGTTGGTTGCCGACGGACGAACGAGGGCATGTGTGGTCTGTTTAGCATACTTGTCGCCGCCCACGGCCAAAGCGCCTCAATAAGGAGAGATCCCTGGTTCTTGGCACGAAAAGCCCCTCTCCAGACGGACTCATCCCCTTTTAAAGATTTCCACAGAGTCGGGTGAATCAGTATTCAATACGTGCCCTAACCCTAATTTGGGGATGCAGTGTATCTCTCGATCTTTGGATTAGATATAGACTACATATATGGTGCTTCTAACTACCGAGTTCTAGTACCTGCAGCAGGTGCAGGGGAAACTGCGATGCTGAGTGGGGGTGCAGTGAGGGGGTGTCATAAGAAATCACTCGGGAGAACCTTTTGCAACTTTTGGGGAATCTCAAGCGTGAGAATTCTTAAAATATTGAGTATGCAAATATGTCGACTAGCCCGATCTTTCAACATAAAGCGACCCAATAGCATACAGGTTTAAAGTCGCGCGGGGTCTTGGGGTGTAAAACGACACAGCTACAAAGAACCAGCCGCGGACAATCATATGGAAGTGACACTTTTAGACTTAGATATGGAGTTCGAGATCTGCTAGCTAAGTACATGTATACATGTAGCTTGTGTCACAGGGAAGTCAACATGAAATCGGAGGTACTATTAAGTCACCCGCTTTCTTATTGATTCCCAAAGGTCTACTATTATATATATTATAGCTGTAGAGGAGTAGGCGCTACTTATATAGTAGGTACATATATGTATACATATAATAAGTACCGATCTACATACAAACATGCAACTCCCTCCTGTCAGATACTGTCTAATATATGTATTATTATTATTATATAATATACGTATGTGCTGTACATGTATAAACTATAGTTTTAATACATATACGCGCATACATGTATGATTTGATACATAGTATATATGTACATATATAAGTACATGTACTATGGTACTCTAGATCTAGATTTATAATCAAGTCTAGATCTGAGATCTCAGCAAGCGATTTAGTTAGACCTTGATGATCCAGACATGATGAGTTTTATTACGGCCGGGCTAGTGGGCTAGTATATCCTTGCAATGGTCGATAAGGGTTGTATGTAAAAAAAGCCTTTCAGTTTAATCCAACTTTCGAGTCTTTTTTTTTTTTTTTTTTTTTTGGGGGGGGGGGGCGGGGGGGCGGGGAGACTTCACAGAAATTTCCGAATTCTTCACTCGTGGCTTAATTAAGGTCGCGATCGATATCACATCATCACAGTTTTGAGCCCTCCGGAAACTTTCCATAAATGTACAATCAATTAGAAGTACATGTATGGTGCGCACACTCTTAAAGGTGATATGGTGGCATACGGAAGTGGAACAATTGTGGCTGCAATAGGGCCTCATGGGCCAATAAGAGGGCCCATTCCTAGCCATTCTGCTGCATTACTGCCACGGATCAGTCAGGTTTGCTTTTCTGGGGGTATAAATGGGTATAATACTGTTCCACTTTGTTCAGTCTTGGCGCATTTTACATACAAAAATACACAATTTCAACTTCCTAAGGCTTTACAACCCAGACAGATATTAAAATTCTGCAATGATAGAACTAAACTTCATCACTAGTACTAGAGTTCTATCATTACGCTTTTTTTTACGATTTTTCGTCACAAAGTTATAAGCCATTGACATTTCGTCGCGATCCGCTACCTTTAAGCGTGGGCGCACCATAGTTGTAACTTTGAGTCGATCTGTAATCCAAATTACATGTATTAGCATGCGTAATATGTAGCTATAGGTATCTAGATCTGGACCCAATACCAGAATTCATAAATTATAGACCTACATGTCTTATCCAATCATACATGTAAGTATAAAGTATAAAGTGTATGTACTAACTTAAGGTCATATATACAAGTACTATATGTAACCGGCAGTATATGGCTATGTATATATATGTACTTAGATCACTATAATCACGAGCCTCGAATCGATGGAGCGCCGCGAATATATTGGCTCTTACTTCGGTTACAGATATAGCTCGCACTAAGATTTACAGCCTATGCACTGTGTTTTATGAGTCACGAGTGAGTACACGCTTTATCGTTCCGGCCCATCTCGATGTATTTATGTTTTCCGACTTGAAGGCCAGGTAATACCGAGTGATAGTTTATGACCCAGGCATTTTTGCATCAACTAAAGTACAGCCGTGTCCGCAAAATTTTGGCACCCCCGGCCCAGTCTAGAAGCTCACGTGTCCAAGTGGTGATATCAAAAGTCGGATAAGAACAACTATAAAGAGAAATTTGTAGTTAGATATTTCCATACTGTGGTATATTATAACACTTTGTATGACCACCCTCTGAGCAAGAGGATTGACCAAAATTCTTTGAATAAAGGTTTCGGGTCGATGTGCAATCATGAATTACTATGTCTCAAACAAATCTTACTCATATGTCCTATAATATAAGGAGCGCTCCTGAAGACATGTATAGAGAGTATGCAAAGCCTGGGATGGCTCTACTAGGTCCCGAATTATAGTACTTATAAGTACATGTATACATGTACTTATAAATATAAGCCATGCATATGCATATGCGCTACACGCGCTCTGTTAGTGGTTTGAGCTGAGTGGTTAATTCCAAGGTTCAAAAGCTATGTAGCTAGCTAGGTAGACTTAAAAATATTATATAAACAAAAATATTATGGATATGTAGACCAGCTTAGTAGTGTTCTGTGTGGTGCTGGTGATGGCTTAGATTGTGTTTTGATTTGCTTGGTTGTATAAGAGAACGAATTGCCTGTAGTATATCATGCGAGAGTGGTCTTTGCCCATGAGGAGGGGTCGAAGGCTGTGCAGTGGCCTTTCCGCATATCAAACACATGTATAATACACAATTGATTTAAGCATACATTTTAGTCGCATAGAACTTGGCCGAAGGTCGCGGTCCACTTGTAGTGTTTACAATAAGCATCAACCGTAATTAATAATAAAAAATAGCACCGCTCATAACGGTTCCATATCTCAGCTTCTGTTTAAATTTGTACTCGCCTAAAGCTGTAATAATGCTGTCAAAGGCTGACCTTGGAAAAAAAAAGAGTGGTATTCTGCCGGTATCCTCGTATGTACCCACCGATCAGTGACATTATGGTGTTTGCTCCTTTAGATTCAGAGCCTCGTAAAACATGATATTAAACTCCAAGCTATGCTTCATTATAGCGTTCCATGATCAATATATACATTACATAATCCCCATTAAAACATTCTAATCCCAATAACTCTCTAAAGTCCAGTTCTGCAATAACACCCTCTCGCCCACAATACGTCCGAATCATACCCCGAGAAGCACAGGAATGATGTGTTTCGGCAAGTTGAAGCCAAATAAGCTAACGACCCATAGGACCACAAATATGAAAATTGGGCCTAACATTATCTCTGTGTGATGGAGAAAGGGAAGTGCTGGTGAAGTTAAACAGTTAGCTTATGAAGAAAAAAATATGTGGTGTGAGAGGTACCATTATAACCCATGAATGTGATCACACAATAGTAGGAGACTGCTATCAGATATAGAGAATTCCCAAGGAATGTTGAAATCCTGTATTGCTGGGTTAGTATAGCTTGCCTAGAGATAGGGGTAGTGCAGCGCACCAATAGTCTCTTGTCAGTATTGGCATCATCAAGAACTGGATCACATATCTATACCAAAAGAAGTCAGCACCTTCATTCTGACTCTTATACCCCAACGAATCCAAGGCTGCTTACAAAAACACCCAGACTGGGAAGAATGCCCTCACGCCGATCTCAAAGCAATACATAAATTCGATTTCACCCTCCCCACCAACAATGCCTCCTCTCCCAAGCCCTCCAGCACCCTGGACCTTCAAAAACTTTCCGGCAAGAAAATATCCCGCTGTCGCAAACAGCAAAGATGTGACAAGAAACTGCATAAAAACCATCGAGAACGATAAACGCAGTATTGATGTAAATGCTGGTGTATATGCGAGACCCCACGCGAAGGAGGAGAGTGTTAGGAAGAAGGTCAGAAGGACAATGAAAGAAGGATCATCACGCGACCAAGAGTTTTTGGTTTCTATTCGTAGTTAGTTTATTGTCTAGGGACTGTGGGTATAGTTAGGTATACGTTTCTGCACAACGGGGGCAATTAGCTTGTTTCGTTATGTATACCTTGAGAAAAAGGAAAGAAACGTACGTGGTGATAAATAGATTTGAAGACCTTTTTTGGCGCAATTATAAGGTTTGTCATTTCCCATGTGGCCATCTAATACCTTGCAGGTCAGTAAACCCGGAGTTGAGCTCAGTCCGTCGTCTGGGAAGCCTAACCTCAAAGTCCATTTGTGGGAACTTGAAGAGCCGTTTGAAGAACGGCGGTAGCCGCAGCGACGACCGAGAGTCTTGACGTCCATGTCTAGGCATACCAATATGAGGAGTGAACGAGCGTGAAGGCGGCGGTGAGGCGCGGAAATGGTTCATGAAGGATCTGATGATGGCTAGGAGAGAAGATTTGCGATGATCCTATTACAGACGTTGCCGACGCGATAGATGTTGCAATGTGCGATGTTTGGGAAACTGCTTGTAGCACGTGGCTTTAAGCGGGTGGTAACAGAGAGGTTGACGGCTTTTCAAAGATCAGGATGGCTACCTACTTCTTTGTGTGGTGTTGCTACCGGTTGAGGCTAGCGTCGGGGTGTCAGAAGCCTGGCGTTCCGGCTGTCTTCCTGGTGCAACGCCGGATTCTAGAAGGCATGACAAAACTCTCACCGATAGGATCCTCGAACCCGGAATTCAAGACCGATTCTCCCGCAATACTCTACATACTGCTCAGATCATCTATACATATACCACATTCCCGGTGTTGAACATATGGGATGGGCATAAGGCTTAGAGGATAGATGATACACGCATATATACAGCGAGAGGTAAAATTATTGTAGAAACAGGGGTCTAAAAACAGGGTTTCTGTGGCTGGGCAAGCCAATAGGACTCCTCCCATATTTCTACAATAATCTTACCGCAAGCTGTAGTGTAGTTATGATTATGCTTGATTCTCAATGTTTCTCTTCCTCGGATCGGTTATACGTAGAACAGATGCACAATCTCCCACAAACACTCGATGATATCAGCTCAACCGGTTATGTCTTACCTGTAACTCAGTGGCGACCTGATGAAACAGCCGGTGGTGAAACAAAGGACAAAACGGCCTATTGGAACGTCCTCGTAGTTACGTAGAAGATATTGGTTTAAGTATTAGTTATAGCACTTAGCCTTAAACTTTGAAATAATGGTTTAGAAGAAAGCCACTAGAACCAATAGGCTTTTGGAATGGAGGCTCTTGTTAATGTATGTACGTAAAACTACAGCTTGCGGTAAGATTATTGTAGAAATATGGGAGGAGTCCTATTGGCTTGCCCAGCCACAGAAAACCCTGTTTTTAGACACCTGTTTCTACAATAATTTTACCTCTCGCTGTACATGTACCAACTGAATTCCAGAGCTGATCAGATGGCCTATCTCAGATTAAGCAAAACATATAAGCTTAAAAATCCCTGCGAAGCATCTATGGTTGCCACCGGCTAGTGGTTTGATTCATTCACTCCCCATAGTTCGAATTGCTAATATAGGTATCTTAGGCAGATGTCTCTGAATAGATAGATGTCTCTGGGTAGGTAGATGTCTCTGAATAGATACTCGTAGCTCCATAGCGTTTCCGAACACGACCAATATTGCATGACATACAAAAAGGTGGATTTAGCGCTTTTTTGTATAGCATGCAATATTGGTCGTGTTCGGAAACGTCATGAAATTAGTAGTAGATGTAGGTGCATACATAGGTGGAGGCAGAGCTGGAGCCAGGTTTGGAACTCACATGTAGTGGCGACATTGCCATTAGAGCTGCGCAATCGAGCCATACGAAACGGATTTGGTTTCGCTGAAAATGCATACATACCTGTACCTGGCAAGGTAGTACAAGGCGCTGTAAATGATATAAGAGGAGTTATCCAGGGTTAGGTTTGCCAAGGTGTCAGGCCGTCGAGTGATACCTCATGCCACGGCCCCTAGTCTCAAATATATGCCGCATCTGATTTTACCCCTGACTACAAGCAGCCAGATCCCTCACCCTCCTTCTTTCTCCAAGCACGGTGCATGAAACCCCAAAACAAGTTTCCTGCCGCGATCTCTCCCTTGCATGAGGTTTAATAATTCCTTAATATGGGGAACATATGTATTCTTCGCGTCCCGCGGAGCCAATCGACGTGATTTCTTGGTTAGGAACGTTGGAGTCTTAGAGGAATAGCTGGAAATGGTTAAAGCGATAGGCTATAGCTTTAGAACGTGGGTTTACACACGACATACACAGGCGAGTTTGATCTAGGCAATATTGAGATGTGTACCACATAAAGGTTTGGTTCTTTTGGAATTGGTTGGGTAACTCATGGCGAGTCGAGAGTTGTATCGATATAATATCGATAGCTCTTGATATATTGAGAAGATTAAAACGGCAACTGCAGTAAAGCTCATTGTGACAGTGTGAAGTAGTAGCACTTGGTTAGATCTAGAGCACCCAGGAACCAGGGTTTTTTTTGCGCCCACTCGGTCAAGAGAAGGATAGACAGAGCATGCAATATGATGTGATTAATTGGTTTTGAGTAGGTGCATACATACATAGGTATGAATGTGTCGATTGTATCGTGGGGGTTTTTGGGGTTACTCTGAAGCAGCTAGTAAACGATAGAGTCCCACTGGGAAAACCTCCGTGAGACCGTAACAAGGGATCAGAGAGCCCCTCCCTAAAACATCAGGTTACACCCCCTCAATTTCATTGAATAGAAGAAGAGGTCGGTTCACAGACTTGTCTGATATTCTTCTGCCTTTTCATTCTACTAATCCACTCTTACACCCTCTGTCAGTCAGTTTGTCTTTGCCTACCTCTGTTTCTGTTTCTCTACCCCTCTTGCCATATCTCTCCGCTCACACCACTACCAAGACACCATAATCAATCTCATTTTGGTCTCCTCCGTTAACGGTTCGTGGGACCACGAAACAAGTGACTCGTGGCTTTACCCCCGCTCGTCTGTCTTATTGTTTCGCCCCGGCTTACCCCTTATCCTGTGATCCTGGGTATATCCTATACGGAGTTGGGCATCCGACGAACTGCTATAGGAGAGTGGGATCAAATAGTTTACGGGGAAATCCTTGTGAGAGTGTTGCACAAAAGAAAAATCGCCATGTGTTGATGCTTTTTCTAACAGAAATCGAAGAGAAAGAGGAAGAAGACTAAAGGGCAGATCTGAAATCACAGCCTCACTTCATATCCCGGATATAAGAGATCTCTCCACACAAGCAACTTACACCGTCCGAAACACAAGTCGAGCGCCCGAAAACTTCTTGGGCTGGAAGAGGGAAAAAGAAATTACTCGGTATCTCGATCCTAATTCGTTACCCTAAAAAGCATTCTCAGGAACCCTCTGTGAGCAACTTTTTTAAGCTGTATGTAGAGACAGATCCTTTGGAAAAGAAAAAAAAAAAAAGATCCCCACTACCCCCGGCGGCTCACTTCCACCCAGCGCGTGTTTCCCCCACTACTCACACCCCCCTTTGGTTTTGGTGAGGTCAATTGGGCAGTAATCGTTTATTACAATTCGTTTATGGCATACAACTTACACGCTAAACAGCCAGAGACATCCGGTCCAAACAGTTTTAGCATAGCAGAAACTGACACTGCAGAGCTACTAGCTGCCCCAAGACCCGCCTATTGCAGAAACAATAATGATTCCCCCCGAGCCAAGTTCTGCCGCCCATAAGCTCTACGCGGAGAGTAGCCAGAGGTTCAGACCTGCTACCAGAACGCCCCCCTCGACTCACTCCACGTCCTACTCGGGCGATTCTTCAATGGGGGTCTATGGCTTCAGGAAGTCCAGCAAGGGAACCGTGTCCACTGCTATAGGTGGCTCGTCCCCCGAACCCAAGAGAGACTCCCACGACCTCCAACTAAACCTGGGAAACGGAAGAGAGTCACTGGTGGATAACCTCCTACTGTCCTTTGATAAGATCGGTGACGGGTCTTTAGGGGCCTTTGATACTTCACCGTATTTCACCTCCGTGGACGAAATGGAAGATGACGATACTGCTTCAAACTACTCGCAGAGAACCGGCCCAATACCGCGCGGCAGCCGATCTAACAGTACCAGCAACTATCATTCACATATTGGGAATTTTGCAGGTGGTCCCGTGGGCGGTTCGACAAATTACGGGAATAGACGTGTTGGCTCCTTTGACAACGGAACCGAAAGTTTCGGCAGCGCCAACAACTTCGATGCTGGGAGGGAAACGCGCTCTCGCGGTCGCGGTCTTGGTTCTTCACATGGGTTTGCGAATGTGTATGACCCCTTTGACGCAGCGCCGCCTCCATCCATAAGGAGCGGACCAAGAAACCGAACGCCCTCTCCACCACGGTCTCCGCGTCTTGTACGACGACTGTCAAACAAGTCTAACAGGAGCTTAAGGAGAGACCAGCAATTCAACCCACACTTTGAAGATCCTATATCACTACCACCGTTGCCGGCATTTGTGAACCCCGCAACGATGAATGCAAAAGATAAGACCCCACAAAAACCTGGCTTCTTTCGACGGGTGTTTGGTGTGGGTGGTGGGAGCAGTGCAAATGCAAGTGGTGGAAGTAGCATTGCAAGTAGCAAACAACCCCAAGAAGTCGCACTGCCACCACAGAACTCCGATCCCCCGCAGTCAACAATCAATAAGAAACCGTCATTTTTCAGGCGCCGGAAGAAGTCTGTGAGCGATGCGATATCGCAACCTACAGCTGTCTTACCACCTCCCTTACATGCTACAGAGCCCATATCTCCGATTGAATACCCTCCCCCCCAAAGCCCTTCGACTTCACTTAGTGCTGCAATGAATTCTTATCTTTGCTCGACAATGAAATCTTCTACTTACGACCTAACCGACGAAGAAGACCATGAGCACGCTTACCTCTCACGGGGTGCGACGATCCGTACTGTAGCCTCTTCGGATCCAATATCACCAAAGCGACCGACATTCTTTGGCGAGAGTCTGAGGGGCCGAGACAGTGGCAGTCACTTCAATGATGATTTTAGCGACTACAAAATATACAGAAAAGACACCAAGTATGCAAGGGGTGGGAGGAATGTAGACCTGAGGCTCCAACCATCGAAGCCCAAAGATCGAGATGATTGGGAAAGACCACAAACAAGCCCCTACACAAGTACCTTCTCACACAAACATCATCATTCAAGAGACGAAGACGAACCGGATAATGAAATGCGCTGGCCACCTATTCAAACGAGATCAATCCTATCAACCCGAAGGAGCGTCGATAATGTTGCATTAGAAAGAGAACGACATGAGAAGGAGCGGCAGAACTCTACTACGTCATCTGTGTATGATAAGCCGCGACAGGGATCGGTTGTTTCTAAGAAGGAAACGCCAATTGCTACCGTGCAAGAGCTTGACGCATTGCACGCTAAGGAAGAGAAGATACGGAGAGATAGTGGTCGTGGGAAGCCACTTGAATTAGATACGAAATTGGGGGCTAGTCTTCTGGGCGTAGGGAATCGAGGCCCGGGAGATTCGTGGCTCATGACACCTACACCGGCGACTGCAGCAGGGACTCCAACCGTAATGTTGCAAAGAGATGGACCGGGCGAGAAGGCGAAGCTTTTGGAGGAGCACGAAGAGGCAATCATGAGTGAGGACGAAGAAGAGGATGACGAACCGTCAGAGGAAATACGCGACTTGGCGAGGAAGATCTTTGAAGGTGATGAAGATGCTATGCCAAAGGCTGGAGTAACTCTCTGGCTTGGCGATCCGTACGTTTACCGGTCCCTTCAGGGGAAAATTTAAGCTAATTTTTTGTCTGTAGGAGTATTTCGGGCGCAAGAAATCGAAGGGCCTACATGGAGATGTTTGATTATTCAGGCATCAACATATTATCAGCCCTGAGGATCTTTTGTGGAAGACTGGTGTTCAAGGGTGAAACACAACAGGTAGACAGGATCATTACATCCATTTCAAAAAGGTGGTGTGAATGTAATCGAACACACGGGTTCAAAAGTGTTGGTGCGTTCTATACCCTACCGCTCATGGTATTGGTGACGCTAACTTCATGATAGACATTGTGTTTACCATTCTCTATTCGCTTTTATTACTGAACACAGATCTCCACATCGCAGATCTCCCACAATCCCAGAAGATGACTCGTGGTCAATTCATCAAGAATACCATGCTGAGTATTCGTAGGATTGTTGCGGAGTCTGCTGCGAATACAGATACAAAACTTATTCACTATAATACTATGCCATCACGCTCACAGACTCCTTATCGCCAATCATTCTCGGCACAACCAGATGATCCTGGGCTTCCTAACGCAGCCACATTCCCATTGACGAGGGAGAGGGCGTATAGTGGCCCGAGTGGCACTGGAAGAGGGTCGATTGACTTTGGAAGAGCGAATAGGAACTCAAGTAAACCCAACGGAATCGGAGGTCTTAGCCCGAAAGGGGATGAGATAGTAACAGAAAAGATGGATTACGATATGGATGGGGGACTGGCTCTTGTCAAGACTTCGCTCGGTGGTGGGATTAAGGTCTGGGAAACTCAGGTGGAGATTGTGTTAAAAGATTTCTATCAGTCAGTAAAAGCAACTGCACTACCACTCTATGGTGCGCCTGAAAAGGCGGAAGTTACACACTCTACTACTCTTTCCGTGTTCGGATCAGGAATGCTGCGGAGATCACCAAGTACTGTCAGCAGAGCGCCGTCAGAACTCAGCGTTTCAAACCGTAACCGGGATAGTAAGTTGGGCACTAAATGGACCGCAAAAAATAGGTCAAGACCAAGACTCTACAATGGATCATATGCTGCGTCTAGCAGAACGTCCCTCGAGGATCGATCAATGTGGAGCCCTTCTGCATCTAGTACTTGGAGTAAATACTCACTTGATAAGACGCAAACGTCGATGTCTGTAGATTCTTTAGGATCTGCGTTTACACATGGTGATTACCAGCAATCTATTGGTTTCGCAAATGCTCTTAGCCATGCTATCATTCGGGAGGAGGCAGCCAGTGGGCACTCGGCCGATGACGGGGGATCAACACTACTCGAATATGACGAACTGGAGCTTTCAGGGGCTCCATGGGCGAAAGAAGGAATGCTTAAACATAAGCACCACCTTGAAGGTGTCGACAAAAAGGCAAAGAACCGGGCGTGGACCGAATGTTTTGCAGTCATTGAGAAAGGCTGGATGAAATTATTTCTGTTCGGCAGCAGCCAACATAAAGGCGGGAAAAACAACCCGGTTTTAGGCGTAGTCGGTGGAGGGAATTGGACAGAAAATGCAGAGTCAATTGGCACTTTTATGTTGAGACAGACAATTGCATCAGCGCTCCCATCACCGGGGTATTCCAAGAGTAAACCAAATGTGTGGGCACTATCGTTACCATCTGGTGCTGTACACTTCTTTGAAGTTGGAACTGCGGAGATTGTAAGGGAGTTTGTGACAACAGCAAACTACTGGGCCGCAAGGCTCTCGAAAGAACCCCTAGTTGGCGGTGTCAGTAACGTCGAATACGGTTGGAGTGAAAATGCCCTTGGTGATTATATGGATAGTGGGAGCCCTCCGTCGAGTAATCACGGCGAGCCCAGACCTAGTTTACAAGTTTCGATCAGATCGAGTATTGACCATACTTCGATGGTGAAAGCTAAATTACCCGGTGATAAAATGAATATCACCGATTGGGCACCACCAACACAAAGCATGGTTGCTAGCTCCTTGAAAGAAGCAGATCAGTTAAAGGCTTTGGAGACTTATGTGAAGAATATTGAGTTGGAATTGACAAAGCATAATGAGTTAAGACCGCCTATGCGGGTTGCTGTATGTTTATATACCTTACCCGCTGTAAGTGATAAGCGTTTTGCTAATTTTTTCTTTCAATTTTAGTTTTCACCTCGTCATCCGAATTCAGCAAAGGCGATGGCCAACTGGGAGAAGAAGTCTTCCTATCTGCTCCATGAGATCATCAAGTTTAGAACATACATCGAATGCCTGAATTCAGCCAGTATCTTAAGAGAGAGAATCAGAGCTGGCGAAGCCGAGATCGGTGAAACTATGGGCGATATGTCTGATATTGAGGCTCCCCACGGAGCAAATATTCCAATTTATTCTGCTTAAGGGGACCGGCGTTCTAGGAGGATATCACTGTTTCTTTCCGTATTTATAACCTACAGTTCTTCCCCCCTTGCCATTTTCGCAAGGGGAGGTGTTTATTTATAGCTCTTCTTTCGCCTAATTATCTTATTTCGCCCTGTGTATTTCTTATCTTCTATTTGGCTCTTGTCTGGGTTTATCAGCGCTCAGTACTGGGGCTTTCATCATGACTTTTACGATGACGTGTTTTTAAACCTCATACATTATTACTTAAACTGGGACATTTCTTTTGTTTTAAAACGGCGGAGCTGGCAGGATCCGGGAGTGGTTTCTTTGGGAGGTTCGCAGATTTTTCTTATATTTCTTGGTGGGGTGTGTCGGATTCCATTTTCAGGTGTTCCATTTTCCTTTTCTTTCGTTACATAGTATTGGGAAAAGGGAGGGGAGGGGGGGATAAGATATCTATATTCAGATATCTTCTAATATGTTAATTTATCGGATATCCTTTTCATCAATCTTTCTTTTGCAATCCGGCCATCGTTGTAAATCGAATTCAAGAATGATGGGTGAGGCCCGGGGTGGAGAGTGTCTCTAGTCCTTTAAGTTAGAAGTACAGTCATCCCGCAAAGGTGTTCGTAATTAGTCTTCCTGTGAACCGCAAGTAGCGAAGGCATCATATTCAAGAATACAAGTATTGCGATCCAAAAACCTTACCAGAATGCTCATACATCTAAAAGATGGCAGTGCCGGGATCCAACCCGGAAATGGTTGTGGGGGGTCCCTTGGGCGGGTGGGCTCTCAAATTTGCAGCTTCCCTCTTTCAGCTAATACTAACCGTATCTAGTAGCTCGTGCTGATTTTTGGTTGGCTATATAACTACAGTACCGAGTATTACTGCACGTTGTTGGGCACATTTGTCGTCAAGGGATTTGTCACGCATTAGTCAGCACAGAATGTGTAAAAGTGGACAATCCCTTTGTAAAGGTGTCCGCAGCGGTATGACCTTATAACTAGCTTGCTATCTTCCTGTAGATCATACATCATCATCCTGTTCGTTCAATTAAAGTTTTATTCATTCTACGTATTTTCGTCTCGAATCGTCGTTGAGAAGAAAAGAAACAAGAGACTGAACACAACAGCCGGCCAACAACGTAGGAGGGATACTTTACATACAATACCAAAAAAAAAGGCTTATTGGGCAGGACAGGTACATGTATGTACCATAGCAGTACGGAATTATGCAAAACTTCCCAATTGAATTTTAAGTATAGTATCATATATCCTGATCGAAGGTTAGTTTTCTATAATAATTTCAAATTTTGCCGTGTCGTTTATCGCACGTCAACTTTCTTTCATTCATTTGGTCCTTGCGGCCCGGCCTGAGATAGTTCGCGAGCCAAACAGCCTCTACTACACGTAAGGCCCGGTACATACAAGTACTTCTTACGGTGATGATTTTCTTTACTTTTCGGTCTAGTTCAACCTCTAAGATACAGAATAGCATCCAAGCCTATGTATAGTATGGGCTCCTTCTGTACCATGATATTGCTGCACTGGAGGTTCTGGTACATTGAACACATGTAGTGTGGCGCTCAATCGTAGCTTACATATTATGTGACAAAATTGAAGGGAAAGTTACAAACCTTGCTAGAAAGTTCGTATCCAGTACATGTAGTTAAGTATATATATATTTTTCTTTTTCATTTCCTTTTTTTTTAGCGTGCTTAAAAACATTCCCATCGATATGTATCCCTTTCCGCGAAACTATTCTAGAATACAATATATAAAACCTACTGCAATCATGAATTCCTAATTCACAAGAATCACATTTACACACCACCTCATGTCATCTCCTGACATCGGCCAATCAAAGCTATATCTCTTAGCCAAGTAGGGTGTAAAATAGTAACCAATATCGTCCAAAAGCAACACTAAAAAAGAGTATAAAAAGGGAACTATATAACATGAAAAATACCGATCCAAGAAAAATAAGAAAAAGGAATAGAAAAGATATCAGAAAGCAAAAGTTGACCGGACCTATAAAAACCCTCCACCTTCTCCCCGAAAGCCTATTTAGATTACACAACATCCCGCAGACAGAAAATGACACAAATTGGTAGAACACAGAAAACTAGAGAGAATAACAAAAAAAGCGTTGTGATACAATAAGTAGTTATCAAAAACGACGGTATGAAGGTTAAACAAGTGAGAATAACATAAAAAGATAGAATCACAAACCCAGCTTTTTTGTGCAGTTTCCAGACACCCGCCCATACTAAAAAAAAACCTCCCAGATCCACATAGTCCATAAAAGAAAGCAAAAGGAAATATAATAAAAAATAAACATTCCCCAAATAACCGAAACGCCGTGGAGATTTTATGCATCTCTCTATGACGGTATGTAGGTTGGGGTTGTAGGCACTTTTATGAATATACATCGCAAGGGAAAAGGAACTGAGGGAAAGCATCATCCCGCTTATTCGGGAGCACCCACGTTCTGAACTCGGCTGAGAACTGAACAGGGGTACTTTTCCATCCGTTGCAAAAACAGTCCGGAATAAGGGGATAGAAAAAAGGAATGAATGAAGAAAAAGGGTGAACAAATGGAGGGGAGGAGCATCAAAGTAGAGAATAAAACCTAATCTCCAATCATATTAAGGTCGAACCAAATCAAACTTGGCAGCACGAGTTACGGAAAGATATTAACCACCACCGCCGACCAATGATTCTGGTGACATCATTCCACCATTGCCCTCGTCACCGCCTTCTGATATCTTGGAAAGTGTCCGCTCTAGAGCTGGAGGAGCGTCCTTGACTAGTGCAGTCTTCGTAGAGGCAGGAGCCGGGTTTGGCTTTTTCTTTTTCTTAGAATTACCACCATGGCTATTCGACGGTCGCTTCCGTGGCATTGAGATTTTTCCTGTAGGTGGCAGTCTCGGTTTTGGTGGCTTTTGTTTTCCTTGAAGGTGCTCATCTTCAATAAGGGCCTCTTCGTTGTTGGCGTGAAGCTTTGCGAGAAAGAAGTTTTGGACAAGACCAATTTGTTTCGTGATGATCTCGTGTGTAACGGGTTCGAAAGGTGGAGGTTGTTTATAGCCATCAGCTGACACAGCAGCACTATTATAATAACAAAGTCAGTATCTATATCAAGAGGAGGAACGAAGTAATGTTAATGTACCTTGCACTGGGATTCTGGAAAGTACTGCGCATCCTCCCTTGAAGTAGATGCAGTGGAACGGAAAGGGAGGAAAGCCCAAACTCCTTGTCTAGGCCCAACTCCTTAAACCCAAAGAAGTCATCACCAATGTCTTCTGCAAAGTCACCACCGACAAACATCTCACTTCCATCATTAAACATTCTGGAACCATCTCCACCTGTATCTGTAAGAGCCGGACGCTGTGGGTGTGTTAGCAGGGGTACCGTCAAGAATCTCCATAGAATATTCGATGCATACTAAAAGTTCTGTAAGATGAAATTTCATCCGCTCATGAATACCATTGAGTCTAGACCCTAGACGTTCAACATCGTCTCTGATGTACGCTTCTAAACTTTCAACGTCTGCACCATTTTCGTACAAAGCATGTAGGAGCATTTCCTACGGAAATTGTTAGTACGCTATAACTAAATATTTCTGAAAGTTGACATTTACCTCCGGTGAAAATTGTCTTTCATGCGATGGCGCTTCAGCGTAGACCATTAAAGTTTTTGAAAGCTTTTGAATGTAATCCGCTGCAATATCTGTCACTGCATCGATTGCTGTTGGTTGATATTCTTCAAAGCCAGCATGAAAAAATATCTTGCCCACAGATCTCTGTAATGCCGCCCTTGCTACATCGTGACACATTATAGGGCCCTCTTCGGTGACAACGAAGTCTTCTACATCTGCCTCGATGAATTCCTTGGGGTCATATCTTTGAAACTGATTAGAGTACATCTGCAGAGTCTATTAGAAGATTTTCTATGTAATTGAGAATTAGAGCCTTGGACTTGCCTGAGTTTGTACCTGCATTTGCTTGATGACCGCGATTTTCGAGCAAAGTTTTCGCGTATCTTGCATCTGCCTGATATTTGCATCCATCCTTTTGCTTAGTTCGGATTTTGGCTGAGTAAATATCCCCTTTGGAGCAAGCCTTATATCTTGGCCTTGAAGATCGACCTCATCACTGTCTCCATGCCAAACAAGGCTCCAGGGAAGTTCTGGGACACATGAAAGAGGGCTGTAGTAATCAGGCAATAGATCTCCCTCATCATCTCCTTCAGCAGAGTCGACCAACTTGTCACTGCCATTGCCTCGAGGCAGACCCTCGTCCTCGTTTTCCTGAAGAAATTTGAGATGTCGTTCTTCATTCCTTAAATACCGCCCCATGTCGGTTCTTGATCGTAGAAGAGCAGGCTCTTCGGGGTTGAGTCGATTTCCACGCAAAAGCTTATGCCGGTCACTCTAACGCATCAATTAGAAAAAAATATCGGGTTTACTCAATTCACATGGACTTACTGCAACTTTTGCTCTAGCCTTTTTAGTCATGGTTTTCCAAGCCTGGTACTCCACGTCATTTGAATCGTCATCAATTTTGTCATGGTCAATCTCCATTTGTGACATCGATGTTCCCGAGATACCATTTGGAACCGGTGTCCCTCCCAGAGGTGTGAGAAATCCGTTTTGCATTATGTTTACCTGGCTGCTTTCTCCTGGCGGCAGTGAGTCGGCCCGGAGGAGATGTACCGTAGGTGGCTTTACTTCAGGCGTTCCCTCTGTTCGGGCCCCCTTCCTAGCCTTTTTGGTCCCGGGAGCTTTCCTACCACGGGATGACATGAGGGGTTCTATCGGTAATGTATTAATAAATGTTTTTATCAATGAGAACCAGATTTAGGGCTAGGTGTGAATGAATAACGAAAGAAAGGATTACCATCGTCACTTTCACCTTCAGCGTCCACCTCCATAGTACCGGCCTCTTCCGCCTCAACCTCCGCCCTATCCCTAATAACTATATCCGGAATTAAAGGTATTAGATTTTGTGTGGCTTTCTGCATGCACTTGGCATGCTTCCTGAGGTAATGCATTGGATCTGCGTTATAGGCAAGGCAATTCGCCCATATTAGATTGAGGTCATCGACAAACTCTTTCTTGCTTTTGTATTGATGTGTTTTTAGCTTTTTCATTACGGTTCCTAAGTCCATAGGATGTTTGATAACTAAGAAACACGTTGAAATGGTAAGTTAGGGGTACTGTCGTTCAAATGCAGACTGTTAACTTACTGCTAAAATAATCTGGTGCTTCCCGTTTATTTACTCGATTCAGAAATGCAGTTGAGTGTTCTGTTAACGCTCTTAATTCAAGCACAACTTTTTCTGCCGCTTCATATAACTCTTCTTGGCCCACTTTGTCTTCGTTAGCCCACTTAGACCGGTTTTTCCTAACTTCCGACATCAAGTTCCGCAACTCCATGTCTGACACTTTAACCTTCTCGCGCTTTGCATCGATTCTAGCGATTAAGTGTTTCAATGTTAGGCTTGATGCACCCAAATTCGCACTACTTAATTTTCCAGGGGCATTTGCTTGCGCCGCATTTGCCTCTGCGTTGACCTGTCTATCAGACTCCTCGAGCTTCTGCTGTTCCAACATTGCGTCTCTATCATTTTCCAGTGTGAAGAACATGGTGGATAACGCGCTTCTCGCCGCCTCCTCCGCGGCTTTCCTGTCTGCTTCTAGCTTTTCCCTAGTCGCGGTAGCATTCTTTTTTGCTTCCGCTATATTCCTCGAGGGCTCACTGGACTGGGAATGTGACGATAAAGCTTTTGCGAGCAAAGGCGAGGGCGCGCTTTTCTTTGGCTCCTCATCTCCGTCGTCGTCGTCGAAATCGTAGTCGTCGTCGTCAAGCTGTCGCGCTGGAGGCCGAACATTGTCTAGAACGGAAGATGCCGCAGGATTGGTTTGACCAGAAGGATAATTATCGTTGAGCTCCAGTGTTGAAAGGTCCAGTTCTGGAGCAGCGCAGCAAGGACGGTCAGTCCTGAACAAGCTCTGTATTGTTTTCTCATATTGGGTGTATCGCTGCCGGAAGATCGCGGTGATGGAATCCGAGGTTTCCTCCTTTTCCCCCATGTCGATTCCTATATCGATAGAGGCTGTCCGAGTGCGTTCAGAGCGCTGGGAGGTATCTTCACGAGTAATTTGCGGACGCTGCCATTGTGAGGGGAGGGAGGACATGATGTGGGGAGGTTGGGGGGGTGGTGTATTTTGACGCGAGTAGGAACGTCAAAGGAGCGAGCTAAGTTGCTCGGGTCATAGCCCGAGCTATGAACAAGCGACCCTCAGGGATGAGAGGATGAAAATGGGATGAAAATCGATGAAGTTCGCGATGGAAACAGGCGTCGATTTCGCGGGGAACAGTTGAGGCGCACCAGGTGAGGTTGTGGACGCTTCGGTTATGGGTGACTAAGGCGTTGCGTTGAGGTCGAATACTGAAGACACAAGGTGACACCCTTACAACAGCTCAGACACAGACAGAAGGCAAAAATTCGTCAAGAAAATAACTTTCATATCTTTTCTAACGATTCCCTTTTGTTTGGCTACTATTTCGTTTCGTTTATCGGATTCTATGTTGAAGGTGCCATGCAGCTTGTAGTACTCCGTCTACACGCGCGACCATTAATTTAACCCACACTGCATAGTATGTAGTTCAACAGTAGGAATCGTAATGAAGGTCTATAGACCTAATAAGGGCATTCAATGGTAGAGTTAATTATATGTCCGATATGATAAGGATTTTTTCAACACTACATATACGCGGACCCTAGAAAGTAATATCCGAGTGATATCCAATGATAGACGACGCGTATGAGACATCAACACTAATCTTTTCAAAATAGTTTAGTCTTGTTAGTAACTTGAAATAATATATAAGATCTATAGGCTCTTAGGTTTTCAATTGGTTTGTTGGGTTGTGTACATGTATTGAGGGAATACTCTGAATCTAAGTATTAGATGACATGACGGTCATATTTAGAAATACATGTATACATATAATAACATCTTGGCTTATGTACATGTATGTATACTTATGTAACTACCCCCCAAAAATTATATAAACCAAAACGCACCCATACCACTAGATACCGGCAAACTCCAGCGCGCTGACATGATGAATTCAACAATTATGTACATGTAGCTAATAGAAATTTTTTGGAGTAGAGATCTTTCATATTCATATCACTTCTAGAATTCTGTTGTACTCTTCTTCATATCTGCTCGTGAGAGATAGATAACGAGTGATTTTTCATGAAGATAGAATAGTACTGCTAGAGGATCTTGTTAACTCATTGATTATATGGAGCCCTAAGACTACATATGTATATCGACAATATAGCGTACATAAATTTTGTATATGTTACATGAATGAACAGTGAAATTACATGTGATTATAACTATATGTAGTATTGCATGCAGTGAATTACCACCGGAACTTGAGAAGTAATTGGCTATAAATGTCAGGCCAAACTGCAAAGCTACATGTACTACGCCTAATTAAGATAATACGGCCTAAGACAAATCGACCCCTTCCAAACGATTGTTGTACAGGTAATCCCTAGTTTTCGCGCGCAGTGTCTCTTAGACTGTCAAGTTGTGGTTGTTCTGTGCTTGTAAGATTGGAATGAGATACATAAAACCATGGTTGGGGATTTGTGAGAGACTTATTCAGGTTCAATCTTAGCTATAATCATTAGCTACATTTATTGCTTTGTATTTTGGAAAAAGGAGCCGACATTAATTTAAGTAACAGCTTAAGGGATAGGGTATAGATACATGTATGTAAATACTAATTATTGTATAAAAACGGGGTCAAATTATCACTACTATATGATTACGGAGTTCAGTGAAGAATATTTTATCAATACCGTACCGTATATATAGCAAATCCACGCCCCTCTACTAGCTTTGTGGTACCGTATAAGAAGTACATGTACATAGTTAATCTAAAGGACAGGGAGGTGGGAGAATAGAGCAAAGAGTCGCCAAATACTAAAGTGATGAAAGATGAAACATAAAAGATGATTATATATAGTACTCGAATTTTCGGTAAGATACATTCGTGTACCCTCAGCCTAGCTACTTGTAGGCACCCATCTTACACGCATAAATACATGTATATGGAACATGAACATACACGTAGGCTATACTTGTAGGTTGTACACCATGATAAATGTACATCTAGATTCGATGTACATTTACGTAGAGTGCGCGCGCGCGTACACACCAAAACTTTTATGTATGTACATGTATACATGTATACATACGCATATTACTACATGTACATGTAGTCTCGTACCCATCCCCTACTAGCAGCAAGCTTCTCCTCCGGAGGGATGGAAGCAGGGGGACTGGGGACGAGCCTAGCATATTACATGTAGTACATCATGCACTAGCCCCATACATGTATACATGTACATACTTGTAGTTTACATTACATTTACTCCCATCCCACATCAACCACCTCTGCCAACCTTTCCCAAAACTATCCCATCCTTCCAATACTTTTGCTATATCCATCGTGTCATCATCTCAATTGCCACTTATCAGCATCAAAACCGTTTGGTCTACATTTTTGATTGTAGGAAACCATAATGAGTGAGCAAGAAGCATCCAACCACAACCCTTGCTTGGCATTTCATTGGTAGGATACCCTTATCAACTTTAGATCCCGCCGTAATAGCAGCATAGGCTAAGAAGCCTCTATATAGGTCGGATTCACAGGCAAAAACGGTAGAAGTGGTTTCATCATTGAATGAATGGAAGCTCCCTGGATTCAAGCTTGAGCGGTATTCCTATGGAGAGTTCGCCTGCTTTTTAGGACAGCAAGAGCCTTTCGATAAAATCTACTTTAAAGTAAGTTGTTGTACGAATCATTATTACTAGTATCGATATTTATGATAAGTGTAGTTTGTTATCGATGGCTCCAGGTGGGAAGTCAACCGAAACCTCCCAGTTTTCGTTGATGAATTCGGAAACGAAAATAATCGCTGGACCCCCCAACAGGCTACTGATCATCATGATGCTCTCATATTACATGTTCAGAAACAGCAGACTTTATCAAGGGTTGACATGGGAGAGCTCTGCAGACTAGCTCTTGCTGCTCATGGCCTGTATGATCAATATTACAATGAGTTAGAGTGCATCGTCGACAGGATAGTGTCCGACACCGGTCGACTTACTCTTCCAATATCAGGAACTTTGGAGGTGTTTGTTTTGTTACGGTTTCAGCCAAGGAAACATGTATTCATTTCGAACCAATTTGAAAGAAACGGAAAACACAGCAATTCCGATGATGTTTGGGTAGCCGCATTTCCAGCTGATACCAGTTCAAATCCATATTTACCTCTCTCTGTGAGCCTCAGTAGCTCAGAGAAAGAGAGAAGAATGGAGAGCGAGTGTGCTACGTTACGGTTTCTCAAAGAGCATACATCACTTCCTGTCCCTGAAGTGTTTTCGTACGACGTCCGGTACCCTCCAGTCAAAGATTTAACTTGGGAGCAGAAAGCGCATGACAAGCGTGCTGGTATAATCAACAAAGTTGACTGGCCGTTTATCTTGATGGAAAAACTTGGAGGCTTGTCATTTCAGCAGTATTGGTCACTCGTTGGAAATCCAAGTGAACAAAATCCAGATCTAAAAGATCTTAACATGAGGCGGCAAAAGGTATGAAATCTTAAAAAAAAATACATGATGTATTCAATTCTAACTCTTAAATCTATAGATCTTTGAGCAACTGGCGATGTATCAGTTGGAACTGGCAAAGCATCCAATTGCGGCATGCGGGTACCTAACTCTCAATCTTAGTTACTGGCACAGACCGGATAAAAACTCTCGCACGCCAAAGTCATCATTTGGAGTTCGTCCTTGTATCTTTGATACCTGTAGACCCTTTACAGACTCTGTTGTTGCTGCTTTTCCCGATCGTCGGGCAAGATTATGCTTCCCGTTGGCAAATCCAACCAATTGTCTAAGTTCCATCACAGCCCGTTTTAACCACCTTTTCTCTCACAACTCAAAACGCCCCCGAATAATCAGTGACCCCACAGTGGAAACCGAAAAAGATCATTTTATTGCCCTCGAACAAATGCGGTCTCTCGTATTTGAAACCCTTGGCCTAAATTATGAGACTGGTCCATTTATTCTCCAACATGCCAACTTATTCCCACAAAACATCTTTCTCACTGCCAATTCCGAGAAAGATTTTAAGATAAGTGGGATTATCGATTGGGATTTTGCATCCTCAGTTCCAATTCAGATCAGTGCGTGTCCTCCCCGCATGTGCTTGGGTCGATTACAAATTGGAAACGAGAACGATGTTCAGGAAGCCCAAGCCTCTAGCATATTTCATTCACCAATATTTCCGCAGAACGTGCTTGGGATGCAAAGAACAGAGTATTTTGCGTGTTTGAAACGAATCGAAAACATTCTAGAGGGGAAGGAGGGACGAGGGCTCGCTGTATGTCGGGATTCTACAGGGGATAAAGGGCACTTGTCCGAGGTTTTGAGACAAGAAATGGTCCTACCTGTGTATATTTTGGACGAAATTTGCAGTACATCTCTGCAAGCCCTTACCGGAAGGGTTGCTCACATTTACCTACCACTGATCTTTGAAATGATAAGAGGTCACAAATGGGACAACGTTAAGAATGCTATTTTGAGTGATGGAGCAATGCATTATGCAGTAGAAAAGTGGGAGAAGGGGCAAGAGGACTGGAATCATCATCAGTCGTTTGTCTTGCAGACCGAATGTTCAGATCAACTAGCCGCTTCGAAGGAAGAGTGCTTGGATGAGGTGGCTACTTCGCTGCCAGGATGCTTGGATTCAGATTTCTGAATTTGTAAGAGTTACTAGCCTGCAGCTATCTATATCTATCATTTGATATACTTAATACATGTATCTACTTAGAGGACAAGGGGGAGGAGTGTGTTTGAAGCTTAAGTGTACCTATTAGTTTGGACGGTTTCTGTTTAGCTGGGGAAAATGTTAAACCAATTATGTACTAATCACCAACTGTCCATTTGGTCATGGACATGATTATTGGGAGAATAAAAGGACTAGAGTAGATTGCCATTATGTACATAGTGGATAACTCTCGCTCTCGAATACATACATGTACTCTTGAGGTTTAGTAGGTATATTATGGATATAGACTACGAGTGATTTTGCATGACTATTAAATTTATTTATTTCTGTCAATACTTATGGCACCCAGATAGGGTATATTCCTAGTAAATATACCCTAAACCTCGTCAAAAATAAAACCTAAACATTTATCCTGCAGTTACATACATTATGCTGCTGCTGCTGCTGTAACGTGTTCGGTTGATGAGTGGTTACATAAGCCATCCGTCCATGACTTGGCAGGGCCATGCTAGCATTCATCACCATCATCCCACGTAAATCAGAGAGCTTGGAATAACGCCAATATTAAGGAAACCCATGATGTATTAGCGATGAGGTTTGTAGCTCCCTCCTAAGTGTACAGCGCTGTAGCTCTAGCTACTACCGTCCTAACAATCTATTAGGATCCGAGCTCCATTCGCCGGCGCCTTTTGCGCTTTTACACTTCTTGCTGCGTACTTGGGGTTATCCGAGATTCAAGTTCCAGTCAACGATAAATTCCTCCACTTCATTACCTTCTTCATATTAACGGTACCATCAACTAATATATATCTCGGCCGGGTGCACTGTGCTGATTAAGGCTAGCTATGTTTTTACTGGATTTTGGAAACGAGTAGGAGGAGAATTGTCAACTTTACGCTAGTTGTAGGTGGACGATATAGCTCTATTACGTGGTTGATCGTCTGAAATAACATCCGCCGAGTAGATATGTACACTTATTGGGGGAGTCGGTAGCGAATTTCTACAATCGGCCGCCACTGTAAGCCACCTCTCTTGCCTCACAATATTGAGTATATACTGATAGAAACCTGGTCTACAAGTCTCGCCAGTTTGATCCCTTCGATATACTAGCAAATCTTGTTGGTTCTGTGGGGGCGCTTTTACTGTCAACTTGGTATCACAAGAGGATGCTGGAGCGAAAACGACAGGCAAAGAAGTACCAGTTGGTACCGGGTGAAGATGCGGGTGAAGGTGAAGAAATGGAGGACTTGGAAGCTGGAAGAGTAGATGCCAATGGTGGTGATGAGGATGGAGAGCAGGATATCGGAGACACGAAATGAATGAGAGCTGCGAAGCCTGGCAGTTGTCGTCCCCCCCCCCCCCCCGGTTTTGTTTTATCTCATATGCCGGCATTTACTTTCTCAGATCTGTTTACCTAATTAGTGAGGTGCGGAGGTTTATAATGGAAGGTAAATTTTCTATCCTATCACTTCTCCTTTGATCATCCCCGCACCCGCCTGGCCCCGCCTTTCCCCCGCACCCGCCAACCACCATTTGAGATGGCGATGCGATGAGTTGCAGCTGCGCCGTCCAACCAGAATCCATTATAATCCCGACCAGCTCAGCAAAAGAAAGGAAAGGATCTGCAGCGTTCCTGGAACGCCACCAAGAAGGTTACCTACTGACAGCCCTCTATCCTGAAATTTATTTCGCTCCATGCATGAATTTACTTATTTTCCGATTCGGCTTTTTTGACATGTTTCCGTGCGGCATGTGAATACCTATGTGATGCTTTGTCAACACATGATCGAACCATATGTGCGCTGGAAAAGAATAATTATGAGAAATATCGAGGTCCGTCCGCAAATATAAATGATCATTATATATAGTGATAGTGAGTGTATTCGTTATACCATTGTTTGGGGGCCGAGGCGAGGGAATGATCAAAAAATCGATACCCACATGACCCCTTACTTGAAGCAGCCTAATTCACGCGCAATATATTGTACCTATTTTCAAGACGCTTTATAATCCCCACTAAGAGACGTGACAGTCGACGTTAGTAAATTTCTCCTTAAAACTTCATCGACCGATGAAGCACTCAGGCAACTAGCTGAAACAAATGTATTAAAACTAGAACCACAGAGGTTTATCCAATAGGAGACAAGGAAAAAAAAGTAGTAGCATAGTGCGATCAGTACCACGAGCACCCGAAGCTCAACTAAAAACTTCATATCATGAGGTATCTACTTCCTAAAGACCCTGATTTGAGGTATATATAGCAAAAACAGCCTTACACTTAATGGGCGCACCAGCAGTATGCGGGGCGCCGTCAAGGCTAACCATTATCAAATCCTCATCGCCAGGGACGTGGTACAAGACAAGCCCAAAATGCACTTTTCCCCTGGTGACGTTCTTTCTTTGTCCAGGCACGCTATCTTAACCATCTTGCCCGCCGTCTTCTGCATGTTGATCGCTCCAACCATAGTTGCAGTTCGTGGGGCATCGCCCGGGATGGCCCCAGATATTGATCTCGGGTTAACATTCTTCCTGCTCTAGCTCTGCTATTCCTAACCCCAGCAGCGGCGACAGCCGATACCTACGTCATGGCTCACGGACTGCCCAAAGCGGAATGGTCTAAAGTTTAAAAGCACGCCTTGTGATGCGGAAATTCGGAGCGAGTGATCACCCGTGACACAAGTCGACCTGCCAACTCATCCCCCTTTGACTGTCCGTATGTCACCCCACGAATACAAATCAGTCATGATAGCTAAGATGTCATCAGATCTAGATCTAGATTTGATCAACTTTTTAGCTTATCTAATTTTACATGACCTCGGTCAAAGTAGAGAGGCTGCTAGTGGCAATGAAAACGTTTCGCCAGATCCAGATGGTAGAACGATAGATAGTAAATGATATGGATACAGAATACAGGATGATAAGTTAACTACCGGATTATGATTCAAAACCAGAATACACGGAAATAACTTGGGGGAAAAAAAGAAAAAAAAGAAAAAAAGAAAAAAACATAATCAAACTCCATGCCCTTGCCTTGCCTTTCCCATCCCCCCCGCTCCCGCGAGCGCCCATTTGCCTGCTATGATAATGATGACGACGATGATGTTGATGACATGAAACGGAATAAAATAAAGAACTGATACACATAAAAAAAAACCAAACAAAAATAATAACAACTCCAGTTCCTTTATTCCATGCCTACTCTCCCGCAAAACTGTAATGAATAGATAAGAAATAAAAATGAAATATGCAAATCCCTCAACACAAGAAAGAAAGCGCATAAAACCACAGCAGCGAGTGGTATACAGGTCGGTCATAAATCAAACGCCTTGGTATCGTAGAGTAAAAGGAAAAATAATGAAACAAATAGTGAAACACCTCCCAACCAAGACCCAAAGCTAAACGAATGCTTGTCGTATTTTTCAAACCGGTGGTGCAATACACGTGTACGTTATTCGACGATGTGGGCTACTATGAGTGCAGGAGCACTCCTCCATCAGCTTTGAATTCTTCATTTGGTTCGACTATGTCTTCATAGCCATTGTCACTATCACCATCTGTGGACGTACCCGGAGGCGAAGCTGACTTCCCCCGCCGTTGGAATTTCTCCTTGAGTACTTGGTACAGAAACTCGTACTGCACCTGGCTCTGCACCATGTACATCCGCTGCTCGCGGAGCTGGTTGACGGTCTCGAAGATGAGATCCTCGCGCTCGTCGGCAGCAATCGCGCCGGCGTCAATCTCGCGGATGAAGTGGTCGAGTGTTACGAAAGTGCCCGATCTGCCAACACCGGCGCTACCTGTACAATGCGCAAATGGTTAGCGTATGTTAGCTATAATTAGGGATTGGGAAGGTGGCTGACAATGGACAATAAGTGGATTATGGGGACCACTGTTCTTCTCGTTTGCTAGCTTCACGGCCTCCAGGAGTGCATTACGGTCTTCACCCTCCGGGACATGGAAGTCCGGCCATCCCTTGAATAGCAGGTGCCATACTGTCTTCTCCTTATCGCCGACCTTCAGGATCAATTTCCGTACTGTGCACGAGCTGCGCTTGTCCTTGGTCTTCTCGACACATTTGATAGTCGCACTGAACCCATCTCCAAACTCGTCGTCGCCATTAACTGCCCACGCTTCATCCTCAACCTTCTCTGGGAAGTACTGGAAGCACTTGTCCCGCCCTAGCTCGAAAGTCTTCGTGAGCATCACAATCACTGCAACGTCGTCGGTCTCATGCCAAATCATTCGCCATATGTGGTTAAACTGCCCTTCTTTCGGGCCCTAACATAAAAGTCAGTCTTCAATCTGTCCAATTCTCTCAATACAGGGTCTACACACCTGAGTGCAGATATATCGCTTGACAGAATTATCCTTACGACTAGTCAATGTGATTGGAGAAGCATTGATGTAGTCGCAGTGCTCCTCGGGCACCTTCAGCTTGATGCGGTTGTACTCCCACGCCGCAATGTTGGAATATCTATTTCGGGAGCTGACTTCGGGCGAGTCGTCGAGCCGCCACTTGGAGTCTTCGTGGGTGTTCACAAGACTCTGGGTTAGGCGTTCGCCCTGTAGGTACTCGAGTTCCAAGAACTTTCTTCGGATCTCTGGAGGCGTTAAAACAAACATTAGCACAGAACTTCTGGTTGTTCGCAATAGTAGAAGCTGTATAAGGGAGTGATGTTTTCTTATTAGAAGAGTTGCCCCCACAACCCTGAATGGGTCGTTTCAACCTCATCTCATCGCGCAAACCGCTTATTCTTTCCTTTTTTTTCCCTCCTTAACGCAATGAACGGCGGGGTTGGACAAAGAAAAAGCAAACAAAACAAAATCGAAAAATCGAAAAAAATCCCGACTTCTAAAAACATACCGTTATGAGATTGAAGCAAAAACCTCGGAATACCTCTATCTGCCGACCGGCCCCTTCGCCGAGACCTCGACATTCTTGGAGACGAGCGTGATGATACGACATGATGGGGCATCCCAGGTCGCCATGTAATGTGGTGGGACATTGGAAAGATTTGGCTTACGTTGGGAAGCTGTATAGTGAATGATTTACGGGGAATGGCGAAGGTAATTGTTATGGAAGTCGTTTTGAATGATTGGCCCTTTACGGGATTGGTACCTATAGGGGATTTTCGTTTGGGCGAGCAGGAAGCTTATGTGTTGATGTTTGGGTGGTTGCGATCGATGGAGGGGTGTTGGTAGTTATTATGCGGTAGTGGGGCGAGAGAGGAGACCTTATGAGGAGTGAGGACTTGGGATGGGCGGTTGGGTTGCAGATCGCGTGGTGGGGAGAGGAGCTATGAATACATATGTGTGGTTTTCGGGAGGGAGGGATTTGGGGGGGGGGGGTTATTTAGGGAGAGATTTAAAGAGTGTGGGGGGGGGGGACCGAAATGGCGAAATGCGTGAATGTGGCAGGGTGAGGGCAGTTCAGGGAAGAGGAAGAGGTAAGTTTAGGTGGACACGAGAACTGATTGCTTGAACACAGTTGCGGAATTATTGATTGATTGAGGTGCGAGTGAGCGAGCATGTGGGAGATTGGGTATGAGTGTGTGGCCCCTAACTACATGTAACTATATGCTATGTGTGTACCTAACTGTGTCAGAGTAGGTGCGCCAGGCAGACTGCGGATAACGGTTTGTCTTGCGCTTGCTTCAGTATCAATCGCTCACTCGTTCAAAGCTCGCTGGACGAAGTAATTATTTGTTCCTTCTTATGTCATGTCCTTTTCATCCTGTCTTCCTGTCCTGTCCTTTCAAAAAAGGGATGAGCCCCCCTCTTACCCTACAACAAGCAAGAGCGGCTAGCGGAACTTCACTTTGGCCGGGGGTTCTGGTTCCTGGAGTGTTTATCAAGGATGCAGCAGTAGAGGTACATACATATATGTAGTTAGTAGTTAGAGTCTCTACAAGTGTTATTGGTAATAATATATCATACATGAAATGAGGTTTAGCTAGCCCTTCTAATGGCAAGAGAAACCAGGAGACAACAGAGACCCTGGATTGGACCCTGACCATCAGGATGCGAGTAAGAGTGAGCTAGAGTCAACTCCAAGTTTCTCTGTCCCACATCTCAACCGTAGGGCGTAACTACATGTATGTCTGGAATCTGGATTGCACAGGCTACACAGCTTCAAAAACAACTGCACAGCTAGAAGCACAGAAGAGCGGCCGAGTCGATAATATTCACTTTCACTTTCGTAGATTTTTATGACTTTTGCCTACTGTCATTCCCACATGTCATGTACCTCCAATGTCATGTCGCTGCTGCTTGACATATCTGCGGACTCCTCTCACATCGATGAATCGTGTGCGTGCACACCGGATCACTCTACCCATCTTTATGTGTCTTGCGGATCGTGCCCTGCCCTCGCAGAGAGCAGAGCCGCACACACCGCCGCTTTGGTCCAGGGAGAGATGGAGGGATGAGGTAGGGTTGTCTGCATGGGTTTGCATGTGGGATGCAATGATTGGAAGGAAACCCATTAAACAACGATGTGGTCCTTGATCTATCGCATCCATCCATCTATCGGGTTGCACACACAGCCCATCTTCTCGTTTCGGTCTTGCCTCTTCCTTTCCCTTCACTCTGCTTCACCTCACCTCGCAGCTTGCCACTGTGGGGAAACTGCAAACTCCGTATATCCGACCAAGAGTAGACCGGCTGAGTTGCCTTCCTTTGTTGATCTCTCATACGTGTAAAGTGTGGTTTTGTGCTTGCTTGCTTGCCTACGGAGAGAAGGGGATGACGGTGCTGCTGAGCTGAGAACCTTCCTCCAAGCTTCCAGAGGGACAGCGGCTCAAGTCCTGTGACGTCGCGCGCACGGGCTGGACTCCTCCTTACGATGTTTCTGATAGAGAGGGGAGGAGGGCGTGTAGGTAGACTGTGTTCTACCTACTGGTTACATGCAGTTGCAAGGCGCTGTCGTCTGTCTGCATGTAGGTACTCTACCAAGAAATCAACAGCTTCTTCGGCGGTTGGGAAGCTGGTCACCAATTGAAGAGCATACTCTTAATAATGAGCACAGGAACGTTATTTGCGTGCGTAGCAAATAACATCGTAGATAGGACTGCTGCAGTGGTTGTATCTTTGACAGATGTCTCTTTTGGGCGACCTGTAACCCACCGCCAGGGCTCCATGATACAGGTTTTTGGTGTTCTAAAAAAATATTGAGACACTGGTAATGAAAATATTGATCACATGTCCATGTAGTAGAGTAGAGTAGCTCTTGTAGCTTATCGCCGGCCCGCCTAAGAATCATGTGCTACTAACTGGTTGCTGCTGCTTTTAGCAGTCCAGTGTCCGCTTTAGTCATCCTGTCAAGCATTTGTTTTTCTTCTTTTTCCCTGGTAACCGGTTAGTTCCCCGGTTACTGACATGCATAACCCGCCTGCATTTTTGCCCCTCCTCACCACCACCAAAACCACCACAACCACCATCGTCAGTGATAAAAAAAAAATAAAAAATTCAATAGTGGGGAGAGCGATTTCTCAAAGCACCAGAGGAACAGCAGCATCAACAAGGTAATCCCTTGTACATTGCACTAAATATTTGCAATGATTTGGATACGTGTCTTTGAGGTATGTTAAATCACACGCCCACCCCCTCTTGTTCTTCGTCGTCTCCTTCTTCCGCCTTGCAGATACAGGATCTGCGGTTGCAGCAGCTGTAGAATATGCGCTGATATGAACGACAGGCCTGGCTCGTTGCAAGAGTTGAGTTCAACCCCCCCCTCCCCCCCGCGCGCGCTGGATTCGTGGCATGGGGATCATCGCCGCCCACCAGCCTAGAAAGAAGGAAAGAAAGAAAAATATTATTCCAGAGGGCGCATACACATGATTCATCCGCTCTACGTCGTCCCTCTGTCTGCCTGCGCACCCGCACTCGCACCCGCACCTACGTATCAAGAAGACGCGCAGTCCGCAGCGGAGTACGCGGGGTGGAAGCAAAACCACCCCCCCCCCCCGGGGGACTGGGGTTGGGGGAAGTGACGTGGCAAAGATTGAACTGCTTACTGACCAGAAAAGTTACTGAGGAGTCCGGCGTTTCATCGTGTGGTAGCAAATATCCATGGGCGATTGACGGGTACAAGAAGAGTCGACTACAGCGAGATGGGCGGTACTAAGATTGATGGTTGGTATCCTTTCTTTGCTACTTTCAACCTACTTGTTTCCCGCACATTTTATTATCTCCTTCCCTGGTGGAGTGATGGGGGTGTGGTACCTACTACGGGTAAGGTAACTAGGCTGACACGCGTTTCAGGTGGTGCCGAAGAAAGTGGCTTTAAGAAGTTCGTCAAGATATATGCCGAGGAACTTAAAGAAACGTTTCGGCGTCGGTAGTTGAGGCTCAGCAGCAGCTCTTTTGTATGAAGGAGGGATGCGCTGTGGCTTTAGAATTAATCCGGATTGAAACATTTGTGTGGGTAACCACCAACCACAAGTAGCACCGGCACCACAATGTGTTTCTAGTTCCAATTCCGTTGCAATCAATCATTACCCCCCAAACCGGCCATGCCACTACCGTAAGGTTCGAAGTGTTTTTCACCCAAATATCTCTTTTTGATTATCATTTCTTTATTTTAATTGCTACCTCCCGTTTTCTTTATCTATTCCCTCTGCATTTGCACCCGGACATTAAATTGGGCTTCTTTGACTATAACCTACGTTATTTGGCTCTCATTCCGTCCGAAGATCAATGGGCGCAAGCCCTCCAGCATCCTAGTGACCGAATTCTCTCTTCATCAAAAGTTTTCCCCATGATGAATGGATTCGGTCAATTGATGCAAACATTCCAACCCCACTCCCAATTATTAGTTCTAGTTAATCATTGACTCTCCTGTATGTTAATATGTGTATTGATTTTTCAAATTTCTGGACCTCGGTCCCCCCGAGACTCCCCTCTCTCTAAGTTAATGCAAGTTACACATGCTACATACATTAGTCGCCAAGCCCCACCACCCACATTCCCACATTCTCACATTTCCACATCTGATGCTTTCCCAGCCAGGGAATTCTCCAGGAAGATCACTGTACGCTGCATAGATTGCCATTGGCCGGTAAGTGATGCCCTGTGGCAAGGTTTCGATCAAATTCGGCACGACTCCACAATGGTATGTTCGCAGAAATGACCGAAATGACGTGATGCATAAAGTCTCCTGTTGATATGGGGGAGGGGGGTGGACATGTATAAGAATTGCGTGGTCGTCGCTGCTGCTGCTCTGTAGAAGAAAAAAAGTGAATATCACATACCTTATCGCGGGGCTCCCTATCTTGCCTATTACCAATTGACGCGAAATAGCAGTAGCCAATTCCCATCTCCAAAGCTATCAAAGGGCACATACAGTTAGTAGTACTATCAGTATCAGTATCAGATATCAATATGCCCACTGCAATTGTCACCGGCGCAACAGGTTTGTCCCCCACCTCCCCTCCATTTACCAGAAAACAACCCCTCTCACACACCCCTCAAGGTATCAATGGGCTCGCGCTCATCCGCACCCTCTCCGCGGACCCCAAGACCTGGACCCAGATCCACGCCGTATCCCGGTCCGCCCTATCGGTCAGCACCCTGTTTCCGGCGAACGTGCAGCACGTGCCGCTAGACCTCCTCGGGGGCGTGGCAGACATTGCAAAGGCACTCAAGCAGAGAATCAATGAGCTGAGCAACGACGCAATCTACGTTTTCTTTGCGGCCTATCTGGAGCAGGAGACGGAGGAGAAGCTGTCGGACGTGAATGGGGCGTTGTTGCGCAATTTTCTGGAGGGGGTGAGGGGGGCCGGGCTGGAGAAGCGGCTCAAGAGGGTTGTGCTGACGACGGGGGCGAAATATTATGGCGGTAGGTCTAGTCATTTTTTTTTTTTTTTTTTTTTTTCGCTGTGCTGTGCTGTTTTTTTTTTGTTCGGGGTGGTGGTGTTGTATGGTTGTGGGATGGTGGTTGAGAGCTGATTTGATGGGGGTAATGATCGATAGTGCACCACGGCGCCGTCAAGGTCCCGTGCGAAGAGGAGGACCCGAAGGTTGTGGGGCCGACGGTGCCGAGGAACTTTTATTACGTGCAGGAGGACATCTTGATTGAGATGTCGCGCGGCCAGAGCTGGGACTGGTGCACGGCAATGCCCGGTGCGGTCATTGGCTTTGCTCATGGTGATAATTAACCCTTACCCTGGATTTTTGGATAGAGTGATGATTATATTAATCCGCGGGGGGCGTTGTAGGAAATTTTATGAACATGGCATCTGCAATCGCGATTTATGCGAGCGTGTGCAAAGAGCTTGGAGAGCCACTGCACTTTACGGGGAACCTCCCTGGGTACACGACGTTCGATACGCATAGCTCTGCGAAGCTTGTTGCCGGTATGCATATATATAGCATCCATTGCGTCCTCCGATACTTGTAGGAGAGGGGAGTGATACTGACATGTAGCCCAGAGTTCGAGATCTGGGCCGCGCTGAATGAGAAATGCCACAATGAGCGCTTCAATATCGTCAATGGGGACCAGGCCAGCTGGCAGTCCATGTGGCCCAAGATTGCGCGCCACTTTGGCGTCCGCATTCCGCCGAACCAGTTCGTGATGCCCGCGCCGCTCCCGGGTAAGTACAAAATCGCGCAGGACCCGCCGCTAGCTGCGCATGCGGACAAGATGGGCCTTGTCGGCGTGCTCGAGGAGAACGCGATTGACTGCAGGGTGGACCTAGTGAAGTGGGCCGAGCGGGAGGATGTTAAGAAGGCGTGGGCGGAGATTGCAAAAAGAGAGGGACTGAAGGATGACGCCTTGAAGAGGGCGACGTGGGTGTTTGCGAACATGATGATCGGAAAGAAGCACCCTTGGGTGTCGAGGTGATTGATATCCTGTGTCTCGTACGGGCAGACAGATGTGACTTTTGGTGTGATAATAACGGGTATTTTTATTTTGGTGCAGCATGACCAAAGCGAGGAAGTTTGGATGGACGGGATATGTCGATACTTGGGAGGTATGTGACCGCTGAGTCTTTCCGTGCTGGCAGTGCAGTGTGGATTCAGGCAGACTGAAAATGTCTCTCTTAGTGCCTTGAGGATACTTTCAACGAGCTCGAGCAGGAAAAGATCATTCCGAGGCCGCAGAGCTTGATCCACTAGGACATGGGTGAGGATTTATGATCAATCACAGCCTATCACTCGGAGAATCGTACAAACGAAGTTGATTGATCTCCTTTTTACTCATTAATTCATTGATAAGTTGGTTGACCGATTGATAATTGATTAATTGTATGCAGCCCGGAGGTTACGACAAAAGTTGATTGAACCTTTTTTCTTTTTTCTCTTTTTTTTTTTTTGGTAAGTTGGCTGGTTTGGTTTGATTGATAATTGATTAATTGTATGCAGCCCGGAGGCTACGACAAAAGTTGTTTGTTTAGTTCATTGATAAGCTGTTGATAATTGTATGCTATGACAAAAGTTTATTGATTTGGTGTATTTAACTGCAAAATGCCACAATGTATGTATTGAGAACAATCGATTGAGTCGGGAGGCAGCCGGTGGTCATGTTCTTTAGTGCGGTACGACGCACTACACGGACGTAGTATGTCGTAGAGATGATAAGCCCGCGTCCCGTAGTGAAGGCACTACACCGGAAGTTTTGTCCTGATATTCCATACTTCCAAACTCATACCGGTCTCTTGAACCACGGGCGCTTCGTAGGGCTATTGCAAATCATCTCGTGTCAATCTTTTACTTACAGCTATCGTAAGTCGAGGCATGTACGTGTATCAACCTGACTCTGCAGTGGCCCAGTACACGTTGTTTCGCTATATCGGCGCTGTCCTTATCACTTTGTTCAAGCCGGGATTTCGGTGTCTCGGTTTTCTGGGTGCTGGCGAGTGCCGATAGGCAGCCGGGGGGTAAAGCGGCTACAGGAGAGGCATGCATAGCTTTTATCTGACTGGCGGTGGTTCGCGGAAGGTTCCAGAGAATTTGTGTCTGACTGTTGGGGACAGAGCGGTATCACAGCTTCGGGATGACACAGCCAGACACACAGTCAGGCGGGAGGAGCGAGGTGCATACCTCCCCATAAACCGGCACATGTTTATCACCGCCCAAAGTTCCAGGTAAAAATTTCTCCATATACTTAAGCTTGCCTAGAGTTATATACATGTACTTCACTCTAGGGCGGAAGCCTCGCTAAGTTAAAAGCTCAGATATCGATGGATAGTTGGGCGTTGAGACCAAACACTATAATATAACGAGATAGCAAAGTGACCTATTAACCAAGGGACATGATGGGTGGACGGGATATGCGTCGCTTAAGCTGGTAAAATCATGGTGCCGAGTACTCAAGTACTAGGTAGCTGACTCGCCGTCAAGAGGACTCGCTATGGGCAAGGTGTCCTGTCCTATACGATGATGACTCACATTACACATATCTCTAGACATCGATAAAAGCCTTGATATAATACCCGAATTCGATAGTCGTCCTATTTTGATATATATCTAGGTATTTGTCTATATACCGGCTACAGATTGGACTGGATAAACAATCAATAACTGAAGACCAATCCACGAGTGATACACCATGACTGGATCAAGAATGCTACGACACGCATCCCCCAACATGCAGGCTAGCGAATCTCGACCAGCTACTTGATGACTATCCTGAAGCCCTTAATCATTCACCAGCGCAACGGGGATATGTACGTAGAAAGCCATACATAGGAAGGGCTAGGGTTCTACCTCCTACCTCCTAAAATCCCCCAGGAAAGGACCAACTAGCACACAAACAATCCACTTCAGCTCTATATCTGGTCTAGGAGTAATCTAGATACACTTGATTCTTTTTAGTCAACAAGCAGAGACTAAGAAAAAAAATAGTCAATCTTGGCACGGTGCTAAGATCCCACAATATTAGTAGTAACAACAGAAAAGCTCAAAATTAACAAGTATTTTCACATAAACACAAGCTCGGCTGGTCTAGTGGTATGATTCTCGCTTAGGGTCGCACTCTAAGTTAATATGCGAGAGGTCCCCGGTTCAAACCCGGGGTCGAGCCTGATTCAATTTTTTTGGTGGTATCTTCTACTCGACCGAGTGAGTCAGGCTGACTCAATCGGCCCTTTCTTCGTAGTTGAAGAAGAATTGTGTGGTAGGCGGACCGTGCTAGCTGACAGTTGATCAGTAATGGTAATTTAAAGTTTTTCCCCGCATTCAGGGGAATGAAAGATGCTATTTAGTGGTACAGGGGGACTCGGGAGTGCTTCATGCATGCCTCCCTCCCTCCCTCCCCACGCTACTGCGGCACCGGTAGAGTACATACTTTACCTCAGGGAATTCCATTCATACTTGGTACATACATTCTACCCCTATATTTTTTCAGTGGTTTTTCACAACACCGGAGGAGCCCAGGGGGCCGCGGGGGGGGGGGGGGGGCAATTTTTAAGTTCCCGATTAATCTCATCGGGTACTTTTTCAGGTCCCATCTATGTTGGTTGGCTCATCGCGATGTGGTGGGCGGAGTCACAAATTCTCACTCATGCGTTGGGAAGTGGGTTAGGTTTCTGGGTTCCTGATTGATGGTTTGGTCACACACAACATTGCACTAACATGACTGGATCCTCACCTCACCGCTTATGGAGGTGGTATGATTGATTACGTATACAGGTACCGAGTTGTAGCACAAAAATTGTCTCCGTAGCCGGAAGAACCCCTGAATGGTCAGAAATACGGTGTACTGTCTTGTCTGCCATGGAGCTGCAAGTATGTATGCACCTGTACCCCAGCGCCGCACTACCTGAAAATAGAGGAAGGGATAATTTTGTAGTAAAGTACAGGTTTTACTCCCAATTGTTTTCCGCCAATTTTCATTCAGTTCGTAAAGTTCTCGTGATTTTCGCATAGCAACCAGCAGGGAATTTCCAAAAGACCAATCCACAAAGTCGGTAATTGGAACTATACCTAAGAGGTATGTTCCTATCAATCTTAAGCTCTCGAGTCGCGTAGCTGTCTCCTGAATATCTTTTGTAGTCGTGGAGTTAGAGTCGTTTCATCATCCACGTAAAAAATCACGAGAACTTTTGTCACCCCACAATACATTCGTGGATATATTACAGAGAGCTATCATGCCTGAGGGATTAAGAGAAAAGAAGACATAAAATAAAAAACTAAAACCAAAAATCATTATGACCAATTACAACGGTCACAGTGACCAAAACAGAAATGGATAAGGAAATGTAAAAATTGAAATTCGTACACCGTTTGCACATCAGTCCAAATAAAAAGTGAAACTCGGCAAATGCCAAGAAAACTCCTACAACCCAAAATGCAATATGAATACCAATTAGGCAATTAATGCCATTACCTCCGAGACACTAATCACTCACGTCTTCGTCTCAGTGTATCGTGCAGGATGCCTTACGTAGTAGTAGTGTTTGTCCCCATTTCAACTGCCTTTGCTGTAGGAGATCCTTTTACAGGAGCGGAGGTTGTCTCAGCTGCTGATTCCAAGGCTCTTCCGCCAGCTTTCAACACTACCACCGATGCTTTGATGCCTGAAACAATGAACGCCTCCGCAACATCTCCTAGACATTTCCGGGTCTCTGCGCCGGCGCCAGAGGGAACGCCGAGGGTATCCAGGACAGTGACCAACTCCTCTCTGATCTGTGATGTTCCGGGTTCGTGTTGGCTTCGCCCGACGATGATGAGATCCCCGGCATTCCTTGATGATTGACCAACCTCCTCTCGGGCTTTGACAATTGCGTAGTGTAGAGGTTGGCTCGTTCTAAAGGTTTCAAATACAACCCTCTGGGAGAGGTTTTCTGGAAGGGAGTCTACCATCACTTGGAAGAAATTGGCATCTGGATCCTGGATTTCAACGGTGGTGCTGCTTCCTGCACTCTGAGAATGAGACGAGGAGGATATAGCATCGCGTGAGAGTCTGGTTGGAATGTTCGATGAGGAGAGACCCCGTGGAAGATCCCTTCGGTGGATTTGTGCTGGTGATGGGAGCTCAAGGTTCAGTTGTGTATCAGCATCGGATTTGTATGCGATACGGACAATTGTAGCAGTGACGTTTTTGTTGGATGCCAGTTGAAGAACAAACCTCAGAGCAATGTGGTCATCGATACCGCCAAAGAAAGGAAAGAAAATATGATGTGACGGGTCGGAAACGGGAACTACAGGCGCCATGGCATCTGTGGTCCTACGGGAACGCATACTGGAATGGCTTACAGCGCGGCTGAGAGTTCTCTCTAACCCAGCGCCACCAAAACCTCGATTGATCATGATGGCAGTTGTGCAGTTAGCTTCATCGAGAGCCCTGCTTATAAAAAGGTTGTGCTGGTGAGATGTGAAGCGGTTTTCTTGAGTTGTATTTTGAGTATCCGGCGAGTCCGAGATTGCTCCAGTTTCACTCCACGGAACGATAAGCAAGTCCGATGACTGTTCCGAAGCACTCGTTGTCAAAACTTCCGCAAAAGAGCTATCAGGAGCGACGGATAACCCAGCTGAGACCGAGACATTTAGAAATCTTGCAAAGGATCGGAAAACGTTTACGACCGGGTCTCTCTCTTGGAGTTCATCAACCTCAGACACTTGCATGACAGTCGAGGTACGTTGAGTAAGCTCAACCAACCGGACACCATGTACTGATAACAATCGCTTGTTGAGAATCGGGGGACGGATTTCCGCAGTTTCACCCTCCTCTTGGATTGCGTTGATTTTAGATTTGTGTATTTTTGCGGCAGGTTCTGGCCGTTCTCCGGTCAATAAGTTGATGAAATTTAGCACACTTGGTAAGCTTTCCAGACGAAGCAATACAGTCACCCTAGAGAACTTAGTGGTGATTTCCTTCTGTCTCATAAGTGCAGAGTTTGATCCATCGCCGCTTTCGGGCGTGAGTAGGTTCCCTTCCCAATCGATTTCACCACGCTTCCAAGCTTCGAGCTTCTTTTGGTACCATGGGGGGTAAAGCCACATCACAAATGGAGTCGTCGCAAAAGTTGTGATAAGGGCCATAACCACAAAGATGGTAAAAACCTTGGTGCTTAGAATTCCAGCTTGAAGACCGATGTTCTAGAAGAATGAACGTCATCAGTACCCATCCACAACAAATGTAGGCTATTACTTACCAAGACAATCAGTTCAACCAG